TGGGCTGGAGCGACCTTCTGAGCTGATCCAGTCTGGCAAAGCCCCTCTTCCTATCCTGTGAAGGAGGCCAAGCCACCCTCACCAAAGCCACCTGCCCAAAGAGGCGCTATCTGCTGGCTTCATCAAGGCCGGATAGTGTTGGAGCTCTCAAAGCTAGCCAGCTATCACCCTTTAAGTGCAGGGAGGTGAGCTGATGCCCAAATTAAATGACCCCCGCCCCCCCACCATGTAGCTACAGGTTTCTGGTGGCCCCTGAAGGTGAACAGGTGGTGTTGATCACCAGTGCTGTGGGAACTGTGAAAGGGAAACCCCTTAGGGTGAATGTTTGAGAGACGCTTTGCTGGAGGGGATGAATTGTATGCAACCATAGCTCCGCCCCTGTGGGTGCTGGGCTCTCCTGTGCCCAGACTGCATTAGGGCAGCTCCTTTCCAAGAAGGGAGAGACAGCAACTCCATCCCCTCTGACTAGGGGTGCAAGCTTATTCTTCCCTTTTGCTCCTGACTTCCTTAATGTCAGTTTGCTTCTGGCTGGGGCAGCCTGCCCCATGTGCCCCATAGCCAGCGGTCAGTGCAAAGAACCAGCAGTGCTTTCCAGTCATTAGGGTTATTTAAAAGCAAAGTTTATTTGTCACAGAAAGGAAACTAGGCTAGAGTGCAGCTGTCTCAAAGCAAACGCTGGGCCTTAGCCTGTGAGACGCAGGGTGAGCAAGCCAAGGGTCTGAGCACCCCCACGCAGTTTGGTTACATTTTGCAGACATGGAGCCGATACCACGTGGAATCTGTGACGTTTCCAAGGACACTGCAAAACGGGACAAGAAGTGATCTAGGAGCAGAAACGTACCATCCACCAGTTCTATTAATTTCCAAGCTCGCTAAAAACGGTAAGTATTTTACAGGGAAACAAGTGTCCACGTTTCCCAGGGTGCTCTCAGCTGCTCCCATCTGCCAGCTTTGCCATTCTGAGAGTACCTCCCCCTCTCTTGACCCAGGAGATATTACAGGGGGCTCCCTCCTTTCCCAGGTTTCTGCCAGTGCCTGCTCCTTGGTGCTCTCAGGGGATGTAAGAGCAGCTTTAGTACTATGGAGGGGAAAGGCCTATTCATGCAGGAGACCTAAAGGCACAAGCAGCAGATCTCTTGGTAATGGCACTGTGTTACATCCCTGATGCAGTTTAAAATCCTAGGTCAATATTCCTCCGTTGTGCGGTGTCCGTCCCCCTCCCCTACCCCACTCACCCAGCTAAAGGTGTCTCCCCATCCATCCACTCCCTACACAGCTGGGCAGATAGTCTCTAAACAAAAGGGTGTCAGGTCCCAGTGACATTGCCATTGGGGTGTTACACACAGGGTGGCCATCACAGGGAACTGAAAAAAGAGGCCAAGTCCTTCTTACTACAGCTAAAAATGAGGACAAAACCTCAATTAAAAAATATTTCATAGAAAGCATTGCATGAACCTTCAATTATTGTCTACTTCTTGTATTTTTTCCCCCCGGCATGGCGGCCTCTAATAGCGTCTTATTGTTGAGGAATACTGGAAACTTGGTTTTGAACTCAGCATTTTCAAAACTGCAGTAACTCTGTCGTTTGGTTTTCACTGTGTCCACGTCCAGTCAATTACTCTCATCTTGCTGGTGCAATTCATTAACAAAACTACCCTTTCAGTGTATGCATTGCTACATGAAAGGGAAAGTAGGTAAGAACTGATTTTATTCAAATTCTTGAAGTTTACACATCTATTTGGCTTTGTCATCTTGAAAATCTTGAGGTATTTCTCATTAGCAATTGTACAGTCTTGAAATTTAGGAAATGACATGACTTCTTCGATTGTACACAATTTTTCATATAACTCATCCATGTCCATAACGATCAGTTTTGCAGACTTCAACAGCGTCTGTAATTTCTTCAAAAGAAAACTTTTGCCAATGATGAGACAGTTTCTTGTGCACATTATTTTCAGTGAGGTCAGATCTGGTTTGTAAATACTTTTGAGCTCAGTGATTAAAAAAGCAGAAAATCTGTTTCACACAATTCCTTCATTCACTTTCACTGAGATTCTCCAGTTTGGAGTTCAGAAAGTAACCATACAATTTGTCATTTATACTGCATTCTAGTTTCTTGTGGACACCAGTTCAAACCAGGAAGTTAGTGTGAACGAGTTTGACTCCAGAGCTTCAATACTGTCCGAATTATTTTAGAGCCTGACTCAAGAAGAAACAGTACAATTCAGCAATTTCATTCTTGTTTCCTTAGTCTCCAAAACTATCCCAGATTACTTTAGGGCATTCGTCTTCCCCCAAAGATTGAAAGTAACTTGCAAGCCCATTCTAACACATTGCCAGTCAGTCAATAGCAGGTACAAGGACAGCCCAGGTGTGACTACATAACGTAACATAGACTTATAGAGTGTTCTACCCCAGCAAATTTGCAAAACTCTGCCAATTATTGAACACTTGGTGAGCGAATGCTAAAATGGCTGTAAACATTTAAACTAGGTTTTCTACAGCAATGTTTCGTTTGGTCGTTGCAAATCCTGTGTTGACATCGTGGTAGCAAGAAGGTCACTGTTACTCTTTCAGTTTTGGAAAACACTTAAATTTAGAATAATTAACACACATTGTCTCCTTGTGTGCTGACATGTTCGATCATTTTAGTTCAAAGTTGTCAATCCTATTGCCTGCATTAGTAGCGAATGCTCAGGAAGTTTCATAACAGTCTTTGTAAAAATCTAAGAAACAATAATTAATACCAGTAATACAATGGAAATACCTTAAAACAAGCGGGGAGCATTTCATGGAACCTTTGTTGGAGGCGTCAGTGGTCATCAGATAACAAATGTAGTTCTTTTAGCAATTTTGGACTCACTGAAAATAGTTCTATTCACTTTGCTGTGCAATCCACACTTAGATAAGAGTGGTGGAGCTTGACTACATGAAATGTTTGGTGCGTTCTGCTGAAGGAACTCTGTTGTCAAGGGTGGGCCATAAACTTTTTTTAAAAGTTTGGAATGTTTGGAGCTTTTGTGTTTGATTTCTGTTTAGTAGTTTCAACATTTTGTATTACAGGACCTTTCCCACAAACTGAAACAATAATGTCACACTTACACTAGCGGCAAGATGCAGCGTTCTCTCCTTTCCTACTTCTTTCAATGAATTTAAATTCTTTTTCCCAGGTGGCTGAGAAACTACTTTTTCTTTTCCACTTGCTGATTCCCATGATAATCACAAATTTTACATTCAGCAATCCTTCCTGTTACTTGCAAGAGCAAGATTCATGGAGCGATGGGATCAGAAGGAACTCTGTCAGATGGGTGGGGATTGTGAGCAGCAGGACCACCTCACAACATATGAAGTATAGTGCACCAGTGCAGTGTAAAATGAGTGTTATCAGAGGCATTGGTTGAGGTATTGTAAATCCACAAAAACCGTGTGGAACATCACAATGGCTAGCATGTTCACAAGGCAAGCATCAGATTGACAGAGAGATGGTACAGTTGCTTCTAATGCAAACTGCTTACTGGAAAGAAGTTTTAGGGTGTGTTGTGATAGTTGTTAAGCTTCTCGCTGAACATGATTCGTATTTAGAGGAAGGGAGGAAGTTACCAACTCTCCTCAGAACAGAAATGATCTAGGTATTCTTCAAGCATCACCAAAATTGACCCATTTCTAAGTGAGCCCATGAAACGCTATGGAAACAAAGTCAAAACCAATCTGTGATGAGTTCATTGAGCTAATGAAACATAAGGTTTTGGAATTCACTGTCCCTGAAGTCAAACAGGTGAAATACTTCTCTTTGGCAGTACACTGAAGTCCTGACATCACTCATGTTAATCAGTTATCTGTCAGAAGACAGGAGGATACTGAGCTGGATGGATCCTTGGTCAGACCCAGTATGGCCGTTCTTACAATGTCTGGAAAGTATGATGGTCTTCAAGCTCAGATCAAAAACTAAGCCCACCAGCTGTGTATGTGCCATGCACAGCTTATTTTCTGAACATGGTTGGAACTTGCAGCATTGATTCTTGCTTGGAAGTCATAAACTTTTTAAGTTTTGTTCAGAAACTTTTTTTTAATGCGGCATCACCCAGGCAATGGCAGCTTCTGTGCAACAATGTTGTCATGTGTGAGCAAAGAACTCTTTGCCCTAAAAACCATTTCGAAGACAAGATGGTCCTGTCATGCTGAATCTTGTAAAACAATTGTACTAGACTACGAAACATCCAACATTGTTTGAAAGAAACAATACACAATGTCAAGGAAAACGGTAAAACTGGGAGAGGCACAATAGTTGTACAAGGAAATGTGCTAACTGCAGTTATGAGTATCTTATAGACTGTGATACTAGCAAGGTTTGACAACACTAGTCTGTTTCAAAAGCCAGGTCTGGATCTTGTTGGTGTTCATTTGCTGACTTCCTTGCAAAAGTCTGTCACAAGGTTACAGTCTCAATTTTGACAATTTTTGAGACACAAGCAAAAAACTGGGACGTGATAAGTCCTACAGAATAAATGTACGGTAAAACAAAAATTTCCTGATGTAAAAGTGACATTACAAGACCGAAGGAAATGAGAGGTTGAATGTTTTTATGTTATCCTCAATAAACTAAGTTCGGAACTAAAAAGAAGTGAATGTTATGCTGAACTATCTGCAAAATTTGGCTTCCTTATTTTTCTTGAACAAGTATGAAGTGAAGAAGAAATGCAAACATGCATTCAGGCATTGCTCAGTACTTACCCGAATGATCTAGAGTCTGGTCCTTTTGTGGAAATGTTTTATTTTTCAGCATGTATAAGATACTGTGACATGCAGGATAAGAGTGCTACTGGAATCAAATTTTTGCATGATCTGAGTAGCATCTTCCTGAAGATCTTCATTGTGTTGAGACTGTATTTGACTGTAGCCATTGCCAACTGTAAAGCAGAGCAATTGTTCTCTAAGCTTGCCTTAATCCAAAAACATCATCTTTGGTCAACTACAGGAGAAATGAAGCTTAATGCTCTTGCTATCATGCCACTTGAATGGGATTTACTTTGCACACAGTCATCTGAGAACACAATAACTGAATTTGCAGCTCTTAAAGCTCACAAGATGTCATTTTAAACTCACAACATTTTCATTTGACTCAATGTTTTATGTTTTTATGTTTATCCAGGAAATATATAACCTGTTCATTGTCTTTGATTTTCTTTTTGTGTGTATGCAGTATCATACGTGACTTATTGATAGTACTTTTTTGCTCTCATTAGTACTGGGAGGCCTCCAAAAAACATTAGCCCTGCCCTCCAATCTCGTTAATCCAGCCTGTGTTCCAAAGGGCTCTCTTCTCCCTCTACAGCTTTTGCTGGATAATCCCATCCAAACACAAAACTGTCATCTCTATGCCAATGACTCTCAGATCTACCTCTCTCCTTGAGACTGCCTCCTTCTGTCCAAACTAAAATCTGGTCCAGTCTCTCTGACATCTCCTCACAGATGTGCAGCCACCAGCTGAAGCTAAACTTGGCTAAAACTTACCTAATTTTCCCCCCGAATACCCTCTTTCCTACTTCCTTTCTCAATCACTGTGGACAGCGCCACCATCTTGCCTGTTACTAAGGCCTGCAATAGGGTGTCATCTTGAACTCGGATCTCTCTCTAAATCTTCACATCCAGGCTCTCTAAATCTTGCAGATTCCTGCTTCACAACTTCTCTTAAGATACAGTCTTTCCTGTCCATCCACACAGCTAGAACTCATCCAAGTTCTCATCATCTCACATCTTCATTAATGCAACATCCTTCCCTCTGGCCTTGACTAATGTCATCTTGTCCCGTTCATACCCACTCTGAATGCTGCTGCGAAGATCAGTGTCTTTGCCCGCCACTTTGACCATGTCCCCCCTCTCTTTGCATCCCTTCATTGACTCCCCCTTTTCTCATGCATCACACACAAGCTACTTGTATTCACTTTCAAGGCCTATCCCCACCTACCTCTCATCTCTCATTTGCTATTGAAATGTCAACTCCCACCTCCAATCAGCCCATGACACCAGTCTCCATTGCCCACTTGTTGCATTTTCAAACAAGCCCTTCAGTGCTTTCTCCTGTGCTGCCCCTCACACTGGGGAGGAGCTCCCCATAGACAGCCACAAAGCTACCTCATTGTCCTCCTCAAGGTCTACAAACAACTTGATTCCGTTAGGCAGCTGGTGTGCAGAGACCACTGCTGATCATGCTGATCAGGACTGTTGCACTGTCCTTGTCCTCCGCTGTCTGTATCTATCTATTGACTCTTCTCTCATACTTAGATTGTAAACTCTTGGGGGCACACTGTGTCTTTTTGTTCTGTGTTTGTACAGCCCCGAGCACAATGGGATCCTGGTCCATGACGAGGGTTCCTAGGTGCTATGGAACTACAAATAAATCAAACTATTATTCTACTAATAGAGGGAAAGCTGAGAAGAACTCAACAGGTTTGTCTCCGAGGGGTCATCTTTTTTTTTTCTGTAGCCAGATTTCAACCGTATCACATTTCAAACACACCAGCCATACAGTGGGGCCCAATCCCCAGGTGACAGTGGAACGGGCCAGGTCACCTTTTAGGTCCATGGCCCCATTTGTAATTTTGATTGGAGGATTCCAATATACTAGTCAATCTCATCTCCAGTGTAAGTACCCAGGGAAATGGCAAGAGATCCATGCAGCCTTATGGTTCTGGGGTTTGGGAGCTCTATTTGTGTTCTACACCTTTCCTTGCTCTTGTCTATTTAGATTGTAAGCTTGTTGGGGCAGGGAGCTCTGTCTTACTCTGTACAGTACCACGCACAACAAGGTCCAATCCCAGGTGGCATCCGAGGCACTAGAGTAACACACATCATAAATAAACTGCTTCCAGAGTTACAGCCCTACGTAAACAACTGCCCTTGCTGCCAAAGCTCAGTACGTATTGCATCCAGGAAGGGCACAGATTTCCTTCTGTTCCTTTTTTTCATTTTAACTAAAGGATACACGGTAACTTTCTGTGTAGCTATCATTTCTGAGGCTAAAGGTTTGCCATGGCATGAGCAGGGGGGGAAATCATAGCTTTGTTATGGCAAAAAAAAAAGAAAAGAAGAGTCCTCACACCTCAAGAAACACTTGTAACTGGTGGTGCATTCCAGGTTAATTCACAAGATACTGCGTAGGCCAGGGAAGGTACAGAGCTTTCACAGTCACGATTATTAACCACGGTAGCATTGGAAGCCTCAACCAAGATCACGGCCCCATTGTGCCAAGTGCTGCACAGACATACAGTGAGACGCAGGCCCCAGGCTGAGTTTTCGGTAGCAAAAAGAAAATAAAAGGGGACCTATAAACTACATATGTGACCGAGTGCCTTGCATAATGGGGCCGTGATCACTAAGGGCTGCCAAAATACAAATAATATATCCTAAGAATATGGCAGGAAGAGCTACTGTTCCTGCAGCATTGAAAAGATCAGAGGGAGTCATGCAGAATGAAAGTTACAGCAGAACTGCCAGGGATGGTGAAGTTCAGAAAGCCAGGGTCCCAGCCGAAGCTCCACGCTGATCAGAACCTCTCAGCCCTCCAACACCAAGCTGGAAATCCTGTTCAGCCAAGGTCTTCCCGCTTCCAGTCAGGCTGAAAACCCACAAGTGCAGCCTCCCTCGCATGCACTTCCACTTTTGGGCCTCAAAGGAACGTGGCAGGGCAGAGAAAAATGATTGAGAGTGGGACCTGATGGAAAGTTGAGTTTAGGTTTTGGGTGAAGGCTCGGTGGGTTCCTATTGTCACCAAATAAATCTGCCCCACCTCTAACAATCTCCATTTCGATCCACCTTGCACCCTGCCACTGTTTTAGGGAGAGCAAGCTGCTTTTGTGAGTCAGCAATGGAAAACTCTCCCCTTTTTTCTATTGTGTTGGCCCTGGACCTGGAAGTTGCAGCCCTGGATTGTTTTCTGTCTGCAAGCTCAGGGGAAGAGCTGTAGCAGTTAGAGGAGTTAGATCACTGCCCACCTCCTGCTGGGCTGCTCATTTCTTTTTGAAGAGCTTGCGGAAGGAGCTCCGGAAGCCCCCTTTGGGTTCCTGCCGCGGGTTGTGCTCGCTGAAGGATGTTTGCTCGTTGTCATCCTTCTGGCAGAACCTGGTGTTGTCTTCTGCATGTAGCTCCTAAAATGGAAAAGATGGTTTAACCAGCATTTACAACCTCACCCTTCTCTCTGCAGTGGAGGAAACGGAGGAACCTGACAGCCAGGTCATGTTGAGGAGTCTGGTTTCATAGATTCATAGATTCCAAGGACAGAAAGGACCATTGTGCTCATCTAGTTTTAACTCCTGTATAATACAGGCCATAGAACTTCCCTACATTAAGTCCTGTTTGAACTACAGCATATCTATTAGCAAAGCATCCAGTCTGATTTAAAAACTGCCAGTGAGGGAGACTACTACCGCCCTTGGTAAGTTGTTCCAGTAGTTAATTACCCTCACGGTTAAAAATCTGAACCTTATTTACACTCTGCACTTGTCTATGTGGGAAGACTGTTCCGTCGCTCGGACTTCTGCAGTCGTGATGCCTCTGCACAGCAGTTAATGTGGGGTCTGTAAAGCCAGGAGAACCGAGGAAGAATAATTGAGGGGCAAAAATAACCCTTATACAAAGCGACTGTTTTAAGCCACGTCAGGAAGCTGAACAATGTCCCTGTTACCAACTCCGCCTTTTCATCTGCAGGGATTCAGAATCCCTCCACCAACCACGGGCCAAAGCGGTGCAGGGCTGTGGTACCCCCTACCAGTGGATCCTGCATCGGGCAGGCTCACCATGTTGGACAGAGGGTGCCTCTGGGGGAGGGCGGATGGTGCCGCTGGCTTGGTCACTCAGTGTATGCGCACCCGCAGGGCACAGCGTGAGGTCACCACTCACTGACACGGGGACTGTAACATAAGTGTGTCAGTCAGGGACTCCTCCCTGAGCCCCTGAAGTCCATTCACAACTGCCCCGAACTTGTCCCCTTTTGGTGCTGAGGCAATGATGCTGCAGGGCCCCTTCCTCGAAAGGGTGGTCTGCACGGGGAAGTGGTGCTGGAAGGGGGTGAGTTTAAAGTGCTATAGCTACTCCAGAATGAGAGCGGGGAGCTGTTCTGCAATAGCTATCCTAGTCAAGTTCCTCCCATACTCAAGCATTAAGTGCTGATTTCTGCTGATCCCACCCCTTATTGCTAGGCAGGCAGTGACCCCAGAGACCTCCATGACTTTTGATGCCTGCTTAACTAAGCAGTGTGGTCTAGTGGATGAAGCACTGGACTGGCCACCTGGGGTCTATTTCCAGCTCTGCCACTGGCCTGCTGGGTGACCTTGGGCAAGTCAAGTCACCCCCCTGTGCCTCAGTTTCCCTGTTTGTAAAATGGGGACAAGGATCCCACCCTCCTTGGGTGAAGCACTTTTAGGTCTACTGATGAGAAGTGCTAGATAAGAGCTAGGGGTAATTATTAACAACTCTGCGCAGGCTGTTCCCCAGGCATTCGGCCCTACCTCAGTCGCTTCTCCATCCTCCTCCCCACCGTTTTCTAATCTGCATTGTCTTTGCTTCTGTGTGATCTCTTCAGTGTTTCCAGGGCTCTCCTTGTTCGCTCCTCCCCATCCCCTTCCGGGCATTCCCCAGCTCTGCGCACAGGCCAACAGTGCCCATCCCTGGAGGATCCTCTCAGAGGGGACAGTGCAACCAAATATGTCCTCCGAGGGGGGGGGGGGCGGTACAAGTGCCCCCCCAGGTCTGAATTTACCTCACCCTGTGCCAGTGAGGGTTAGTGCTGTGTCCTGTTCTAAGCCGTCACTTTTGTATAAGCTTGTACAAAGCCGGGATTACCACAGCGGAGCCCTGTCCGTGTTCAGACACAGGTTAGCACTGCTTCTGGAGACGGAAATCAGGTGCCAGTTGGGCTAGAGCCTGTGGGCCAGATCCTCAGCTGCTGCAATTGGGCTGACTTCAGTGGTGCTGAAAAGGTTTACACCTGCTGAGGATCTGGGCCCACTGGCTTCAGTGGGGCCACATGGATTTATAGCAGCTGCGGATCGGGCCCTAATGGCATTTGTCTTAATTAATGCAGGCGCTCTTGGCTCTGCCTCTTTTGCCCACCACCAGCAGGCCAACAGGGGTCTGAGCCCTCATTTCAAAGGGCTGTGCTCCATTGTTAACCTGTTTCCTCCAGCAAGGTGCTTGCTGCAGGGGGCTGCCCAGCACTGAGAAAAGCCTGGATCGTGGGGTCTCAGTGACAGGTGGGAGAAACAAGTTAGACACACAAGAAGGGCCAAATTTTCAAAAGTGGTCTCTGAACCTGCACCCACAAAATTGCATTCACCAAACCTGCATTTGCCCCCTTGTAGCCTGGTATTTGGGTGCAAATTGTGCCCTTCTGCTTCTCACCACCTGATGTATCTGTGCAGGAGAAGGCTATGCATGTGCAAATTTGGAAGCTATTTTGGAAAATTCTCCCTTAAAAGTTTCTCTGACCCTGCTGCAAAATTTTGCTTTTTTATTTTCGCCTCCTTACTTCCAAAAAGCTCTGTTTGTCCCCCAGCCCTCTCGGTGGGGGGAAGTAGCTCCTTTGGGAGCTTCTAGATGATGCAGAGATCAGGTGAGGTTGCATGCTTCTCTCCTGCTTGTGCTGCAACTGGCTACTGCTGCTGCTTCTGGTGCTGTAGAGTCTAGTGCTCATGCCCTCAGTGCTCCTAGGGAACTCCTTCAGGGACCTGCTCAGCTGCTTGCCTTTGCTGTGAAACACCTCCTGTTTGTAAGCACTGCTGCTTTTAGGCAGCGGCTGTGATGAGTGATCTGTCCTGTCTGGTTCCACCGTAAAGCTAACAGGCCTTAAAAAGCAAATATCTAGGCTGGATTCAGAGGAGGCCGGGGAGCAGTTCTCAAAAAGAGCCAGGTTTTGAAAGGTCTCGTCCTCGTAGGGACCTGGCAGGGTGAAAACTTCCCCCCCATAGTCCAACTCTTCATAGTTTGGAGCAAAGCTTCTAGCATCCTGCAGCAGCTCCATTGAGGTCCTGACAGATCTCTCGGCATTTCCCATTGGATCGGCTGGGGGAGTTTCATATTCCATCTCTGGGATCGCTTGCAAGGGGATGGACATGGCCTTTAGCTCCTGCTCAGGGAACTGAGACGAAGCGAGGATATTCTCTGGCCTTTCGTGTTTTCTAGCCTCCACTTCCCAGTCCGATGGCTTCCCAGTCTGGATAGTCTCCATCATGGCAGGCTGGTTCTTCTTCATCTGTGGCATCAAATGCCTTAAAAAGGAAGGAAGCGGGGGGAGGAAATACAGAAAGAACTGTGATACACATGCATTTGGCAAGCCTGGTTCAGCCACTACCTGAGTCACTCAAGTGCCATTCAATACGGGTGTCGCAAGCATTCTGTATGGTGCAGCAAATGCCAGAAAGCAGCAGGCCTGGACTGGCAGGAGGGAGGAACCAGCTGGTGACTGTACGTGGGTGTCCCAGTGCAACTAGACCCCAGAGTGATGTAAACCCTGCCATGCCTGCAGGAGCCGTTCCAGTATCTGTGCAGTAACTCTGTGAGCACAGGCCGCTCATCCACTCGCACTCAGAGCTAAAGAAAGGCGGAGCTGCGGGTGGGTGGAGGATAGCCCCTGTCCCCTCTCCTGAGAGCAGAGGGGGAGGTCCTGCTCTTGTTCAATCTCTTGTCACTCTCCCCTAGCTCAGGGGCCATGCCTCACCCTGCCTCTCTCTCTTTCCCTTCCAGGGGTCGGGGAAGACCCTGCCCCTGGTTCCCCCTAGTGTGCTGGAGGGCTGGGCAGAGGCCCCCATGGAGAATTCCAGCTGAATACGTTGGGATTTCCCCTGTGGGTTTCAGGGGTGCGCTCCTCTTGGAGAAGGTGCCTCACAGTCACATCTGGTCAGCATCTCCTGCCAGCATGGAGGCAGGGATGGGAAAAAGTGTGATTCCCAGCTCCGGTGGATGTACATGCGCTAACCCGCGGGAGACAGCACCGAAAAATAGCCATGCGGCCGCGGCGACAGAGGCAGTGGCTCAGGCTAGCCACCCAAGTACGTATGGTTTTTCCCATCCCAAGAAAAATTGAGATTTAAAAAGATTTTCCCAGCCCAAAACTGGGACAAAAATTTTTGCAAACGGAAAATCCCCATAAATAAATACATACATATATAAAAGGGGGGTTTGTGTCAATCAAAATATTTGGTTTCAATCATTTCCAAATGTTGTTTCATTTCAACCTGTTTAAAAATGTGTTGATGTTGTTTGGAACCGGAAAGCTGGGGTTTCGCACTGAGAAGATGTTGAAATGATACATCTGGACCATTTCAAAACCAAATGTTGAGTCCAAAAAAAGTGTCAAAACCCGACGAATCAGCATGTTCCAATGGGAAAAAAAGGTCAGCGGAAAAGGGCTGAAAGTTCAGAAAGGAGTTAGGCTCTTCACTTAGTTTTTAGCTCGTAAAATGAAAGTCCGTGGATGGCAGGAGCCTGACTCCCTGTGAACATTCAGCCCCAAATCCCCAACCACCTGAACTGCAAAGCAGGTGGAAGTGTTCCTTGGCAGACAAAGTGGGCTGTCACTACAATGCACTGGATCATAGCACTCACTTGCTTTTAAACCACTCAGCTAAGCAAATGGCGATGGATTACTGAAATGCCACAAAACTCTCTCATGCCATTTGTGGTTTTGCAACAAGGAAAAATGCCTTATTGTGCTTCGGGAAAATCTATCGGAATGAATCCCTAGCAGATTTGGACTGCACAGGCTAGCATGGCAGCCCTGCTCACCCTCTTGGGTCTTAATGAGTGAATCTTTGGCCTCGGAAACCCAGACCAGCTTTCCAAAAAACTGTATTAAAATGAGAGGTGGTGGACATTTTTCATTCAAAAACTGAAAATGTTATATAAAAATCTGAGAAAAACCTTCAAATAAATAAAAAATGGTTCCTTGTCCCAACCTGCGGGATGAAAACCATTTCAGTATTTTTTACACCAAATATTTAATGGATTTTTAAGGTCGAGACAGGACCATTTTGATCATCCAATCTGACCTCCTGTAGAGAACAGGCCAGAGACCCTCAGCCAGTAAACTCTTCCTCATGCCCTTCCTTCTGTTGGAGCTACAGCAGATCTTCTAGGAAGTCCTTGCTATTTTTCAACAAGCACTGACTACAACAGAAAAATGGCGCGCTTCCCCACCGCTTTGCGTGCACCTCCGATAACCACCTCTCCTGACCTAGCCTGCTCTTCCTCAGCTGTGGCATATTTTAATCTTTTTGGATAGTCTGGCAGGCATTTGCATAATCATGGAGTTATTTTGCTATAACTCCACTTGGATAATGCAAATCTCTTGACTCTGATTGGCTACTACGATCCCTCTGCTCCTACATCAAGAATTTCTAAGCTGTTTTCCAGGAGTCATGTACCTCTCCCTTCCCCAGGCATTCCCCACCACTCAAACCTGCCCCCAGAATGTACTTCCCCCTGAGAATGCATGGAGAGCTTTATTACCCTGCACGGAGGACCCACCCCAGGATGGCCATGCTGCAGCAACATGCTTGGCTATTTCTAGTTGTTGGGGCTGTGTGGGGAGGGAAGTGATACCGGCCTGACAATTGGCTTACGTGGCTGCTGTGCTAGAAGAGGGGGCTGCAGGGAACAGCTGCATCACCTCTTCGGCGTGGATCCCGCTGTCTCGGATGGCTGATGTGCTGGGTGTCTGAGAACCCTCCTGGCTGGCATCGGCACACTGAGAAGCCAGACCTTTGTATAACTTAACGAGGGACGACCTAGGGGAATTGAAATTCATCACCAGTCAACAGAACCAGGCAGAAGAGGAGCAAGAGATCAGTAGAAGCAGCACAGTCCGTTATTTTTTAGGGCACATGGCAAGTTTGCTCATCGCTTCAGTAAGAGCCTCATTTGTGAGAAGGGTGACGTCTTTGTGGTTACAGCCCTCATGTGGGACTGGGGAGATCTAGGGTTGATTCCCAGCTCAGCCACAGACTTCCTGCAGGACATCAAGCAACTTACTTAACCCACTGTGCTTCAGTTCCCCTTCTGCTGGAACAATAATTCTGTCTCGTCTATTGAGACTGTAAGGTCTTCAGGGCCTATTCAAAGCTATTTCAGCAAGCAGTGGCTAAAATCTGCTCAAAGCAAGTCTTAACCTTGATTTGCTGGATGCTTGCAGCTGAATCCATGTCTGCCCCCTGCTGTCAGCAACAGGTAATTTTTCTAGGATAGACCAAGAAGTCATTTGTTTAAATTAATGGCTAGTACATTTAGAACACATAAAAGGAACTTCTTTTCTTTCTGTGAACCATCAGGAAGTGGCTGCTCCAAATCTGATCCAAAACTTGACAACAAATGTTGTGATCTCACAGGAGCCAGATCCCCAGCTGGTAGAAATGTTACAGTTTGACCGCACTGGAGCAGTGGGCCCATGGATACCAACAGAGAATCTGGCCCTTTGTTTCCACCTGCTCCAACATTTCTCCCTGAGAGTACAGGGCCATATCTTGTGCCAGACTTACTTCTTCAGCTTTTTCCGTTTCTGTATGAGCAGGTCTTCGTTGCACTGTAATAGCAGGCTGTAGTGCGAGATAAAAACGCGGAAGCGCTGCACACACACCAGGAGCAGGTAGTAATCAGGGTGCTCTTGCTCGGTGTACTTCAGGATGTTCTGGGGTGCAAAGGGAAGCAGACCGTTTGGATGATGTCCTCGCTCTTTTCATGCAAAGGCGCTAGCGTGACTTTGGATTAGTACTAAGGGCACATCTACACTACAGGATTAAGTCGACCTAAGTTACGCAACTCCAGCTATGTGAATAACGTAGCTGGAGTTGACATAGCTTAGGTTGACTTATTGTGGTGTCTCGACCGTGCTGGGTCGACAGGAGAAACTCTCCCGTCGACTTATCTTACACTTCTCATTCCGGTGGAACACCGGAGTCGACGGGAGAGCGATCTGTGGTCAATTTAGCAGGTCTTCACTAGACCTGCTAAATCGATTCTTGGTGGATCGATCACCACATCAGACCATTTGGACTATGTCCTCGCTCTTTTCATGCAAAGGAGCCAACGTTACTTGGGTTAGTACTAAGAATCAACCAACTGCATGAGGCTCTGAAAATGCATTGTGTGAACTCTTTGAGATAGGGGTTGTAGGCATTTGGACGGTGCCTAAGACAATGGGGCTGGGACCTCTAGGGGCAACCACCATACAAATGAACCAGGCTCCCTGGGCCTTTATATAGCACTGCTGCTGCCTTTCTCCCTTGCGGTCAGAACTGTTTCAGGTAAGCCAGAGCCAGCCTTTCCTTCTGGGATAGGCCCAAGACCCAGTTCTCACACCACCCTGGCTGTGATCGCCCCAGTCTGCACAGTGCTAGCCTGAGGATTTAGAGGAGCGTCAGCAAGATGATCCTTTGCATCCCCAACAAACCAATTTCCTTGCTGCAAGAGCCAGCTGTTTCTGCCGCACTTGTCATTCTTGTTTGTGTGCTGCTAGCCCTGCCCCCTCGGAGTTTGTATGTCCCTGTTACAGAGAAATGGGATGCCAGCAAGGAGAGGGTTACCCATCCCCTCAACAGCGGTCACCAACCTAAACAATGTGTGAGTCTCTTCCTTGGGTAGCCTCTTCTGCCATTCCTTTATCCCCTCCCTGTTTCCTCCCACATCTAGCCCTCAGCAGGCTGCTCCCATCCTGTTTGCATTCTCTCTCCGCTCCTTCCTTCATGGCTCCACTTCCCTCTCACTGACGTTCTCACAGCCACACCCCAGGTTACATTCCCCCCCCCCCCTTCACAGGTCCTCCCCATCTCTAACACCCCTGTAAAAGCACTGAGTCATAGCCAGAGCATCGCCACTCCACAGGGACGGATTAGCACTGTTTCCAAATTGGGAAACTCAGCTAGAGGGATCAAGCCATGACCCAGCCATGGCCAAGGTGTGGGCTGATGTCGGAGCTGGGCCTGGACAACAGGAGCCCTTCATGTCCATGCCAGTCCCGCTAGGCCATGCTGCCTCTCACACTAGTAAGCCACCACCTCTGTGGCTAGAGACCATGCTGGCTACTCAGCAAAGGAGTGGACTCCGCTGTACATGGTTGGCTAGTAGTTCCCAGCTGTCCTAGCCCAGTCACTGGAAGCCCACACATCCCTCACAGCTGAGAGAGGATCTGGGGTTTCTCAGAATAGAGGGCATTCCCGGGATGCAAAGGCTGTCCTGACCCTGAGGAAACTGCCAATCATGAGAGAGTCTCACGAGAAATCACTCCGAGAGACCAGTCTCCACTGGCTTCCACTTTCAAGGGCCCAGAGATTTCGCCAGGTGGCTGCAGCTGTGCAAGCCTCAAAGGCCAGCTCTGAGAGAAGTGACATGCAGTGTAAACATTAATACCAATTATTATCATCACAGGCCAATAAGGAGACCCAGGCAATTTTCATGCGTTAGTCCTACCTGTAACTGAATAAGGTATTCAGGGATACGCTGGACTATATGAAAGAACAGCATGTAGAGGTCAGACTTAATTTCTTCTTCCACCTGAATTGGAGAAAGTAGATTTAGCATCACTAGGGCATGTAAGTTCCCAGTGCAGTTTGTATTCACATGATGCTGTACAGTACATACAGCAACTCACAGGGAGTGACAGATGAATGGCTATGAGATGAGGTGACAACAGTCCCAATCATGTTATGCTAAGGGCTGGACTGTGAGCCCACTGATTTCTGTGGAACTCCTCAAGGTGCAGGGCACTACTCTGTATGAATAAGGATATCAGCATGTGGCCTTTAGAGACCGCCCCTCTCCCCTGGGAGATACCACAGCACTTACATCCAACTGAGCGACACGAGCCATTAGACGCCTGGCATGAATGGAAAGAGGCTGGCAGCAAGGAGGTCTCAGGAAAGGGTCTTTCTCCAGGGCATGTGGAAAGGTTTATCCATTCTCCTACATACCCTCCCAGGCAGTGGTCTGGATGGGGTGCAAGGGAGAATCTCCTGGCGGGGGGAGGTTTTTTACAGATATTGATCCAATTGAACTTCTGGATGTAACTTCATTCAAATACATGGTGACATAAGAATGAGACAGCTGCCTTTGGTAACTCGGAACAACCAACTGATCAACAAGCCCATCATTCAAGAAACCAGTGTTTGGTAATGAAATAATTTGGTTAGCGGGATGGAAAAAAGTGGCAGGAAGAGACCCTGGAAAATATTATGTTCCAACAGCTGTGGGAAGTGGGGCAAGGATGGCGGGGTGGGGGTGTCAGTTTGCAAACAGAGAGATTGGATGGTTTGGAGGCACAGACTGGGGTAATCCAGGGACAGGGTCAGGTATTTCACAGAAAATCAAGACTCTCCCGGCATTCTCAGGCAGCCAGTGTATAATTAGCAATGACACAGTTATGCCGAAAGGTGTCAGCGGCTGCCATCAGTAGCTCTTGGGGCTAAAGACAATCGCAGACCTTGATTCATTGATTTCAGAAGCGTGTCTTGGGGTTCTCTATGCCATGTTTCCTGTGCTCAGGATTAACTGATATCTCTGTACTATTTCAACCACCTGATTCCTTACAGAAATTCCAGGAATACACTAATATTTGATTTGTCAAACTGCTACTTTCCACTGTGGGGGGAGGGTACTGATTGTGTCTTCAATATTGCCACTAATGACTGTGTGTCATGGTGGATGAGTCTCTGAAATAACACGGAAGAAGAGTACCTCCTTCAGAATCACCACGTGGATCAGCGAGACGCATTCCGGCAGGTCCCTCAAGTAAGCAATGTAGTAGTCCAGAAAATTGTTCTGAGGAACAAACCCATAAATGCTCAGTAAGGAATGTTAGTGGTTTGAAATTCTGCAGGGTTAGCCCCAGGCTCACTGTTGGCTCCGAGGTGTACAGAAGGGGCAGAGGAATGGGGAGGGATAGCACACAGCTTGGTTAAGTTAGACCATTATCCGTACATGTACTTGTAACCCAGTCTGAAACAGTCACGACCAAACGATTGTAACATGGTGCCTGTCAAGCTGCAACAGTCAAACCCTGCTACACCAGTGGATGTGTGCAGGGCCTTCACCCAGTTCCTGCAGACTCTTTAGCTAGTCATCCTGTGTTGTGGTGTGGTCAGGATCTGAGCAAAGTCTTGGTGGCAGTGTAGATAAGACCTAGGGGCCGGCTGATGCTACACCTGGAGCCACAACGGGTTGGCACCATCCGACCCAGTTACCATGAGGCACCATGTTCACACTGTGGACTTTTTATTTTATTTTTAATTTTTTTTTGCGTGACATTGCTCTGTTGGCCCCTCCAGAGGAACCACACTGCACTGCCACAGATTTACCAGTGCAAAGGCCCATGAGGGTTTAGGTTTTGCTCAGTCACACAGCAGGTGAGTCCTGGTCCTGTGTCCCTGCACCCAAACTCCCTCCCAGAGCCTGCACCCCCACCTACACCCCCCTCCTGCACCCAAACTCCCTCCCAGAGCCCGCACCCCCTCCTGTACCCCAACCCCTTGCCCTAACCTGTTGAAAGTGAATGAGGGTGGGGGAGAGTGAGGGATGGAGTGAGCGGGGGCGGGGCCTCGGAGAAGGGGGCAAGGCAAGGGCTGAGAGGGGTGGCTTGGGAGTCCCTGGAAATTTTTAAATCAAAATGGGGGTCCTCGGGTTGCTAAAGTTTGAGAACCACTGGACTAGATGACCTCTTGAGGTCCCTTCCAGTTCTGCATGTCTATGATTCTATAATGGCTGTACCATTTTTGACTTGAACTGGTATGTAGTACGTGGTATGGTAGGTAGACTTGTTATCCCTAGAGTTCTTTTAAACTTGTTATACAGCCAGACACCTAATTATTTTGGGGGGGAAATCTGCAGTTCTGTTTGATCCAAACCCACCATTATACATCGTTAAACTAAAGCAATTCTGATGCCTTTGTTGGGTGTATTCTGTCATGAGCACTACCATACCTCATCGTTTGTTAACTTCAGGAATATGTCTCCCAGGATTCCTGGACGTGGCCAACTCAACACCCTCTCTTGCAGTGTGTGAAGTAAGTCTACATGCTGCTGGACCAGGTATCGTAAAGAACTGGGGAAAAAACTAAAGAGGGAAGATAACTGATATTGATGCATGGAGAAGAATATAGAAATTCATCTAGAAAAAGAAGCAGATTCCTAGGCTTTAGGAACCCACCGATTCTGCTCACATTCATGGGCCAGCCATTTAAAATTTGCCGGGTTTGCTTTATAAGGTATTATTAATCATCGTTATTATGGTAGAGGCTTGGGACCAATGATGCCCCGTTGTGCTAGGCGCTGTACAAATACAGAGTTGTAGGCAGTCCTGCACCAAAGAGCTTGGAATCTAGTGTTTTATGGTTCCAGTTCACATGGTTTTGCACTCACTGGGCCAAATTCTCCATTGCCTTGTGTAATCGACTCTGCCCAGCAGGGCATGAACCTACACAGATAAAAGCATAAGCCATTATCATGCTTGAGTTAGAGGACTTGGGCCCCAGTCCTGAAAACACACACAGAAGTAGGATGGGGCTCATAAACCTTGCCTTATTCACTGTGCACTTTACAAGGTGTACCTTATAAGAAGAACTGATCAAAACTTCCATCCTGTGAGAAATTCCAATATTTTGACAACTGTTTTCATCCCAAATCAGGCTGAAAATGCAAAATATTTAAATATTCTGCTGAATGGAAACCTCAAAAAATCTTTCAGTTTAGAAATATCAAAATATTTTGGTTTTGGTTTGTTGAACCAAACTGAATCTGCGTGATGGGAGTTGTAGTTTGGATGCCTCATACCTCCAATCTCTTCTATGGGCTGGGCTTCCTCCTCAGACTGTCTCCCAGAATGCACCTATGTCCAGGGACTCTCACAATGCATCTCAGGAATTTAACTGGAGAAGAGACCGTGGTGCATTGTGGGAGATGTAGTCTGGTTCGGGAGCCCATAGAGGAGAGTGGTACCTGCCTACGAGTCACTGTGGCAGCTCAGGGGGACACAGATTAGTTTTAAAACGACCTGAAACTAAACATTCCATTTAATTCAACAAACTGAAATATTTAGATTCAGGATGATCTGACCCAAAACAAAATACTGTATATAATTTGATTTACCTGACAGAACACTGAAAAATTTCAGCAAAATCTAAATTTTCCCATGGAAAATTTCAATGGTGCAGAAACAGTATTTGTCATCAAAAATTGTTTTGATGGAAAATTACCAACTAGCTCCAAAGGCTGAGTGGGGAGAGAGAAGATATGAGAAATTGTATTTTATGATAAAAAGCATGTGATCATCTCATTAAAGGTTATAATGCAGTATGTACATGGAAACCATGCCAAGCTTATCATGATATTATTAATATACAGCGAGGACATGGGCAGAGATAGTTTTGAAGCATGTGGCCATAGGACTGTGCAGAGATCCTGAAAGGAGGAAAAGGTAAAAGAAGAACCAGAAACATGGGGAGGAAACAGACATGAGACACAGGAGGTGGAAAGAAGAATGACAAGAGACAGACTGGGGAAATGCCCTTTACCCATGTATGATACTGAATAATGTATTTTATATTCAACTATAATGGGACAGCAGTAACTGGGTCCATAGTTAATGTGAAAGCCAGCCAACTTCCAGTGGCGGAGGGAGAGGTATGGACTGAGAGTCTGAGACTGGGGGGCTTTGTTCTCAGGTCTCAAATAGTGGGTGCAGGGGGAGACAGGAGGGAGGACAGCAGGATGGGCAGAGAGGGAGGATTAAATGAGGTGAGTCAAAGGGCATGGAGAAGGGACTAGAGGAGGCAAGAAATGTTTGGAAATAAGGCATAATTTTTTAACAGGGAAGGTAATTAATGCTTGGAACAATTTACCAACAGTCATGCTGGATTCTCCATCACTGACCATTTTCATATCAAGATGGGATGTTTTTCTAAAAGATCTGCTCAAGGGATTATTTTGGGGAAGTTCTATGGCCTGTGTTATACAGGAAGTCAGACTAGATGATCACAGTTGTCCCTTCTGGCCTTGGAATCTATGAATTGATGAAAGCAGAGAGGCAGGAAAAGGCAGAATCTTTTACCCAGGTTAAAAATTTTAAATACCTAAAGCTTTCTGGCTATAAAAAATATTAGGCACTTAAAGGTTTCAAACTGGCTAAGAGAAAGTTCCCAAAAAATTTTTTGGGGAAAAAACTCTGAATGTTGAAAAGGCCCTTTTATAAAAGTCAGTATGACGGTTACAATACCTTCTCTCTTTGGTGTTCCTCTTCACGTCTGAGCCTTGCAACGTGGCTTTGATCTTCAGGATCAGGGACAGGTTGATGACATATTTCCTCTCGGATTCAAGCAGCTCCAAAGCAATGCTCTGCCTTTTGGCTTCAACAAAAAGTTTGATTTAAAAGAACATGTTAAAAGCTGCACACTTGTGTTTGACTGTAGAGTTGAAAGGGAAAGACTGAAGGAGCTTCCTCTTTTCATGTAATTTTCCTCACAAATATCAACTGCTAGCTCTGATCCTGCAAAGTGCTCCACCCAGGATCAGTACCACAGTCTACTTACAAAGCAAGACTGAAAACAAGTGTGTGTCTCCCCTCGAACGCCAGAGTTTCTGAAAGATCAGGTTTTTTAGAAATCATAAACAGAAAATTCACATCAAATTTGTTACTAAATTGCTGCATCTCTAGTAATTATACTACCCTTTACATCAAATACACTGTGCCAATGAGAACAGTCAGGGCCAGATCCTTCTCCTGTTTGCACCACTTAGAGCTGCACTAGCAGAGAAGTTGGGATTTCCTTTGGTGCAGAGGAACCCACAGTTGACTCAGAACTGTCTATGCCACCTCTATCTCTAAGAGCGTCTACATCATAAGCTAGAGCAGCCCTGAGGCCGCTCTGACATATCACAGGGGCTGAATTAGCCCCCAGCTTCCCCAAGGAATGCAGTTGTTCCCTGGACTTGCCTTGTGACTGCCACTCAAAACAATTCACCAATGAGGAGAGTCCAGCCCAAAAGTGAATATAATGAGCATACTGGCTCTTTAAGACTGATGTGGGAAGTCTCTAGCATATTCACTGGATTTAGGGGTGTGGCAAGAAAAAACAGCCACTGAGAAAGCGGAAGTGATTTCGGGGAGGAAGCAGAGCCAGACTGCTGCTGCTGTTCAGGGCCTGAGACTGAAGCCTATTCTTGCAGCCCAGAGGGAATGTTGGGGTCAGTACTCCTGGGCCTGCTAAGAACTGTAGGGCTCTGAAGCAAAGCATGCTGGGAAGGATACACAGCATATTTAATCAGCTTCCTCCCGCAGAAGAGGCAGAGACTTTGAGGTAATGGGATGCGGAAGAATAGTCTCTCCTAGCTGAGATGGAGAAGCAAAACTATTTGCTTCTTTGTACTTTGCCACAGATGCTCTGTGACCTCAGAGAGAGACCAGGCAGAAGGAACAATCCCAGGGACAGAAAGTTTTTGTCCATTGCCAAAGATATAAAGGACTGAGGAGCAAGGCTACAAGGAGGGTAAGGTTTTTTGTTCCTTTTTAAAGGCCTCCACAGGTGTGGCCTGCTGTGAACTATGGGCTGTCCCAGGGAAAATTATGTGCAACTGTAAAAGGACCTTTATAATGGAAATGTCAGGCAACCTTATCTATAAAGGGCATGATAAATACACCCTCTGTAATCTAACCAACAAAGAACTGCATCGGTCTGTCTGGAGCCCCTCAGGAACACAGCACAGCCTTTCCAATTCTTGTTCCTACAGGACTGAGAGCCACATGGTCCCAGAATAGCACTTAGGCAGCTCCCTCCAAACCGAGGCAGGGTTTTGCATGCATCCTTCTCTCAGGGGGCTATCAATCGATGGGGCAGTTACAAGCAGAGTTGTGCGAAAAATGGATTATTTGATTTGCTGGCAATTCTGAAAAAAAACAAAATCTTTTTGGGTCAAACAAAACATTTTGTTCAACCTGAAACATTTTGTTTCAATATCAAGTCTTTCTGTAACATTTTTCATTGTTTAATAAAATTAAAGGAAGTCTCTAAATTGACATTCATTTCAAACCAAAACACTGAAATGGTTTGTTTTGAAAATGTCAAATTTTGGAAAAATTTGGAATTCCTATGGACTGAAACAGTTCCGTCAAACTGACATGAATTCTCACGACGTGATGGTGTTGCCACACCTGAATTTTTTGCCAAAAAAGGTTTCGGCTGAAAATGTCACCCACTTCGTTGTTGTCATGGCAAATCCCAATTAGCAGCATAAAAGGGACAAGAATGTCAATGAGACAAGGTGGATGAGGTAATATCTTCTATTGGACCAGTTTAATGTTAATGTCACTCATCAGCTGTCAGGGTCCTGGTGAGCAGATTTTATGTCTGACAACACCCTTTGCTGGTGGTTCTAAAAAGAAATTTGGGGGGGCATTTCTGGTTCATGGGAAATTTAGAAGAAAATTGGTTTTGTTCCCCTAACTCAAATTTTGGAATGCCAACATTTCTCGCAAATGGGAAATCCTGCATTTCAGCTAGCTCTCCTCTGAAACCTAAAACAAACTTGCAACTTAAACTACTCGTAGGTCCCATTGCTAACTCATTTGATTCCAGACTAGTGCTGATGGCTTCTAGAATCCCAAAGCCTCCATGCTTTTTAGCCACAGCTGCTTTTATTAGTCTTACCAGCAAAAGAAGTTTCACATAAGACATTGTCCACTGAAGTGTATCTGCTTTGGCCTGTTTCCTTCACTCTGTCTGAGTGCTCCTTAGAAATATATTCATCACCCCACTCTTTACTGTCTTTGGGCTGCTTCCACACAGTCGATGTGGGGTGACCCTTTGGCTGAATGTCAGCTGGCAGGGAAGGCTTGAGGCTTTCTTCTGTCTCTGGATTTGCACTGCTCCCACCTAGAAACCACAAGCTACTGTCAGGACTTTGCAATCTTTGTAAAAAGTCTGCATGAAAAACTGCTATGTAATAATAATTACAAAGCACGTCCCTTCCAAAGTGATAGGGATGCTGTACAGCACCCCTAATAGACGGTTTACAGTGGATATACTTTTCCATAGGGATGAAGCCCAAGTTCCCCTGCCTGTAGGGGCAATTTGAACTTGCAAAAATGACACCTGACTTCTTGTTGTCTGAAGAATGCTTTGCAGTTGCAAGTCAGAGCACTGGTTTGCACCAGCAATCAGGTACTGGTTCAAATATTCAGATTTGCACCACCAATTCAAATGCCACTGCGAAAATGCAAGTGCAAATTCCACTCACAAGATGGATGCCACCCTTTTGAAAATCTCTTCCTAAAATCATCCAATACAGTAAAGACAGCACTGTGAAGAAATCACTATTGTAACAGTGCAAACAAGAACAGATAGGAGGGGTGGAAAACCGGGAAGAAAGTTTCTAAATATATAGGGGTCACTAGTGGATTCTCCACAATGTGCCTGACTTGTCTTGCTAGGTCCTTGTCAGCCTTATCTATCCCTTTATTTGGATTCTAATAGAAAACGTAGCTAATTTCCCCAGATTTTTTTTAAAGAGAACCAAAGTGAAAGAAACATTCTGAATTGTAAAATGCTTCTGGTGACTATGGTAAATTTGCACTGGAAATTTTGGTCTGTTCTTGCAAAAAACCAGAAAAAGAAAACCACATTCTTGCAAAGATTCTTTTATCACAAATCTACCAGGAGTTCAGTTAAACCACTGCGCTAATTGACTTTGAAGTATTTGTTTTTCCGGAGCAAAACTCAGCATTAGCTGGAAATAATTATATAAATTTACCATTCCATTTTGTCAGGATTCCTCTAAAGAAGCTGGTTGGTGAACCCTGGAGGAGGTTTTAAAAGGTAAATATTCACCTACCAGGGCCTGACACTACTTTCACATTTCCTTCTCCAGCTGCCATGGATCTGGTATCAGAGGCTGTGGAAGAATGAAGGAAAGCTACGTAAGATGTTAATATAGCTAGACATGAGCAGGTGTTTGTGTAGCAGGTTTCTTCTTGAAAGGTGTAGTCAAACCATAAAAAAGGAAAGTTTAGATTTTCCATTCTTTAATATTAGCCTGTGGAATGCCTCTTTTAGGTCTTCTCCTGAGAAAGATCCATTTAAACTCTTGATTTCTTTACCAGCTGGGTCATAAGAACAGCCATACTGGGTCAGACCAATGGTCCATCTAGCTCTGTATCCTGTCTTCTGACAGTGGCCGTTGCCAGATGCTTCAGAGGGAATGAAGAAAACAGGACAATTTATTGGGAATAGAAAGGAATGGAAATCACAGCAAACTCTTTGATGAAACGTTATGCTGAATATTTTTTTGACATTTTAATTTTAATTTTGAATTTTTCTGAGCAGTTAACTTTGGGAATTTTTTTCTCCCTAGCTACCAATTTTAATAAGGAGAATATAACCCAGAAGTTTGGTCCACAGAAGGTGACCCTGGAAGCAACGGGTTCTGATAGCAAAACAGAACTGTTTAATATTTCTTTGGTACTTGTCTTCAAAATTAAGCATATGCGTACATGCTTTTCTGAATCGGGGCCTAAATAAAACCCAGGTCTAATCCAGCCCAAGAACTCTCAACAGCTATCAAAGTATCCATGCTTCTCCTAGCACCGGGGCCTATCAATGCAAACTAGCTTCTCCCCATGGCCAATCCAAACACTAGCTGTGCTCTCCACCCCGAATACATCCAAACTTCACGAGACCTCTCTCAGACCTGTGCCTGGATATCCTGCCCTAATCCAGCCATGTTAGTGTGTGTACACAAAGATGCTGACAAATACTGATATCTGCAATGTACATCTCACCTTATCCTTTGAAAGCTTACTATGGGGAGTATTTTTTAGAGGAAAGGGAAGGAACCCTTGCTTCATTCTCCCTCACTCATACCTCTCTCATAGGTTGCATGGTGCAAAAGACTTGTAAGATCTTCATTAATCAGGACAGGTTCCGGGAGATTTATCGATCGGAACGGACTGCCTTGTAGAGGTGTAGGCACCGTTTGTGACCCGTGTTCATCCTTTTGTGTTCTTCTGTGAAAATAAAGAGGCAACTGGAAAGCACAATACCACAGAGCAAACGCTCAGCTTAAACTGTAATCTTGACAAACTTCAATACAAATATGAGCGCTCATACAAACCCAAGACAACTCAGGAGGCACTCCGGGCCCAACACCTGGGCTTGCATGACATGAGGAAGTTGCATTGGATACAGTTCACTAACATGACTCTGGGAGCACCTTCTCCTGGCTGCAGGACAGTGTCATGCCAGATACATTCTTCTTAGATATTTAGCCAAGTAACTAAGGCCTGGATGCACAAAAGGAGTTAGGTGTTGGGATGTGTCCAACGCCTAGAAAATCATTGAGAGTCACCAAGGGGATGTTATCAGTGTGGCCTGTAAAAGGAGCCCCCCGGGTGGTCTAAGCCCAAGTGGGCTTTGGGGCACACACAATTCACATCAGAATTGCAGCTGTAACTGCATGAGCCGGGGAGCAGCTAACACTAGCTGCTTTGCATTGCCTTATCATAGAATACCAGAGTTGGGAGGGACTTTAGGAGGTCATCTAGTCCAACCCCCTGCTCAAAGCAGGACCAATCCCCAATTTTTGCCCCAGATCCCAAATGGCCCCCTCAAAGATTGAACTCACAACCCTGGGTTTAGCAGGCCAATGCTCAAACCACTGAGCTATCCCCCCCCCCCCGCCCCCCCAATCAGAGCAGCTGTTTTGAAAATCAGCAGGCAGTCACGTGGCAGCACTCTGGGCTTTTGGTATTGCACCAGCAACATGCCCCCGGCTCTCTCTCTGGCCATTGGGCAGCTCACCCAAGAGGGGAAAGGAAGGAGGAAGCGGATGATGAATGCAGAGACACTCCCCCACAACAGGATGCATGCGCCATGGGCTCGCTTTGCTGTGGAACAAGTGCATGGTGTGCAATGGTCCACGCGAGAGACTCAAGCTATTCAGAACCCCTGCAAGGAGTTACAATGGATAAGGAGAATTTCACACAGGAAATGCTGTATACCTGGCAGGCTACAATCTCCACTGACTAAGGGTTCCAACAGACCTTTCCTATTCTGTCCTACAGAGGTTCTTGTACCACACTTTCCACTATACCATCCGAGCGCCTTCAGGTTGTGCATTAAGTGATGTGGCTAACCTCCATTAGGGTTCTCATCCCTGGATGGGTCTCAGTCTGCTGCTACCACCAGCATACAGCAGCTTCTGAGTGCCGTTAGCAGGAGGGCTAGTAACTATAACCACAGGATGCCCCCAACAGACACCACCAGCAGCAAGTTGTCCCCGGTGCTACAGACTGCCTATGGGTTACCCCCGTGGCAGCCAGCTTAGGGAGTGAGGGGACCAGCAAGCGTCCCGTTCTGTCAATGTGCAGGTCAACTGCCACCTCAGCCACCTCGTCACAGAGATGCTGGCATAGTGCCCACATGCACTGCCTGAGTCACGTGTACTTGGGATGCTTTGCCTGGCAGGGGAAGCTGCATGGTGGCAGGATGCCGGGTAAGTAGCAGTACACGCACTGTTATTGTCTGCAATACTCCTAAGGGTCTGTCTTTTGTAATACTGCCCGTGGGATTTTCAAAAGAGGCTAAGTGACTTAGGAGCATAGTTGCCATTGACTTTAGAGGGATTGTATAATACTGTATGCCATTGGCTTCCAGTGGGATTGCATGATACTATATGCCATTGGCTTCCAAATGGGACTGCATAATATGGTACCCCATTGACTTCCAATGGAACTTGTGCTCCTAAAGCACTTTTGAAAAGCTTACCCTACATTTTTAAACAGTTCTACATTTTTCAGTAAAACCTTAGTTGAGGTTTACCTTGAAGTTACTCAAGTCACTTTTCACTAGCTCTCTTGGATCAACAATGAGGACATTAAAGCTGTTAATCATTTCTCTGGTGTGTTGGATACGTAGTCTCATCTGAAATGCTTGATGTGCCTCTAAAGGCCAGCATCTTCTCTACTCTACAGGGATTACGGCTGTCTCCAGACATGAAGAAATGAAGCTAGTCTACACTAATGGAGGCCACTGCTAATTAACAATGAGCACTTCAGGACACTCTGGGTTTAGTTCCTTACTTAGTTTTCACTTTCCGGGATTCCCTACGTTTCTCTTGTTGCAGCTGTTCAATTTTCTGTTGCATTTCCTCTTGCTTGGAACTGATCACTTCAATCTTCGACTTGGCATCACTGAGCTCCTCCTAAAACCCAGAATAAATTCAAACATCACTTTGAGAATTTAGATACTAACGCTCCCTGGTAGTGATGAAATGCATGCCTGGAATGACACTGTGCTCATGAGTACAGTCCACATTGATTAGAAATTATTGGAATAAAGAAACCATTGGTCATATGGTATTATTCTCTTGCAGTAACAGCATGTAACTTATCCCATGTATTGGAAATCTCTGCCATAACCGCAGTTACTGAAGTATGCTTGGGCACCTTAACCAGCATGAGAAAGGAAGCTTTTGTGAGGCAGAGAGAGACAGAGTCAAAGGGCCTCATTCAAAGACCATTAAAGTCAATGGAATGACTCCCAGTGTCTTTAAGGGCCTTTGGATGAGAGACGCAGAGAGCAGCTTGTAGTTGCCTTCTTGTGGCCCTCATCCCACAATGGGGACACTCACATGTAAGTATTTGCAGGATCGGGACCTTTGCTTGCTTTTTTTATTTTTAAAGTATCCATTTAACCTTTTTCCCATATAACTTCATATGGGTGGGTGGGTGGGTGGGAGGAGCTAGGGGTGGTGCTGCAGAGCTGGGAGAATCCATCACCAAGAGGTTAAGCCATCTCTCCCCCTGCTGTGAACTGCCAGAGAGGCGCAAAGCTTCTAAAATGGAGGCCAGGATCTGCCCCAAGGCTGGAGTTTGTGTTGCTCAGGTGTTTCTCTCCCACTGAAATCAACTGAGCCCAACTTTCTGAATGACTTTAGCCCACCCTTAGAGGGTTTTAACTGAGTTCATTTATCTACATGTTCAGTCTCCCACTCATGAAAGCAGACAGGCTCTGTTCAAGCTTCAGTATGACTCTATAGCAATGCCCTTCAGCGATGACCTACAAAACCCCTGCTCTCCCAGACCTGGGCACCCCGGGCACTGGCTGTGTAGGAGTTCTATGATGAGGGACATATGTATACACGTCATCAAGACTCATTTTCACTTGTGACCTATGATATGACGGGACTGGCTTTGGGTCTCTACAGCTAAGTCCAGCTAGTTCATTAATCCAATGTGATAAGTAGCCTCACCCAGAATATGGGTTCCAAGTAGTTCATTTTCTCTGTTTGTTTTAGTTTAACTCCTTTCTGGGCTTGGCCTGTAGCTGCATGTTCTTTTATGCTGTTCAGAACAGGCAAGGGTGTTGTGGCATATTTTAAAACTGTGTTAAAATTGTAGGCTTGCATTATAAATGACAGGGGGTTTTCCTAGTCTTGCTTGCAGGCTAGGGGGTTTTGTAGGGATGTGTGAAATCTGAGACTGGCAACAATCAGTCTGCAGCCAGACAGCCAAAGTGGGTTGAGTTGTCCTCTCTGTGGTAGGGAACAGCCTGCTTAGTCTCTCTTTGTTTTGGGGTTCTTGCATGGTGGTGTTCTCAATTCTAATAAATAAAGTCATGTTACATTGTAGTCTTCTAGCAAGGACACTTACGTTTTTATCAAAGACCTCTGTGAGTATCCATTGAATGTAACAGGTGTCTGAGGAATGTAACAGGTGGGAATAGCTCCTACCTTGAAAGAGTTCAGCGAATTCTTCATCTCTGCCACTTTCTCTTCCATTGTGCAGTGGCAGCTCTTAACCTTCTCCTCCAGAGCATACTCTCCATGCTGAATTCTTGAAAGTTCCTGCATTGCTTCAGTGAAACCAGTTTTTAGTTCAGAGGCCAGTGCCTGCAACTAAAAGGAACCAGAAACAATGTGAATCCAAGCCCTCCTAACGTGCTATTAGGAGCAGTGTCCCTTAAGTTCATTAGAACCTCAATTTGGCGTGAGGACACAAGGGCTTATGGAACCCATTCATTGAGGTGCTCTGTCCTCATCTAAAGGTGCCTGGGCCATAGGGGTTGATGAGCCTGTGACTTGACTTGGCTAATAGACCTCAATCATTTCGCTCAGGCAGTAGTAGCTCATACCTTTACATCCAGAATTTCTCAGGTTCAATTCCTTCTCAAACTACAGTCTGTTCACCTCTGAGAGAAGGGAAAAGTTAGTCTGAGGGGGAAGGTGGCCTGGATATTAAGGACCGTAAATGACACCTAACATATTTGCATAACAAAACAGTCAAAAGTTAGCAAGCAGTCAGCAAATTAAACCATTCTTGAGCAAGACTCTCCTCAGATCACAAAACACCAACTCTCCTCAGGTAGGCTTTACGCTGATTTCTAAAATGGAGAGTTTCCCTTGCTCTTTGAGGGTCAGTCATGCCTTCTCCCTCTGTGGGAGAAGTGGGGAGCACCTGTCCTGTCCCAGTGGGAGCTCCTGGCACACACTCTGACTGCGGGTTGTAATGCAGTAGTACCTACAGCTCCTGGCCCCATTGGGGGAGAGTGACTGAAAGCACCCCTGAATTCACACCCTACACACCATTGTAATAATCTTTGTACAAAATATGCCTTGTGAAGTATCATTTGAAAACTAATAACTCTCTGGTCAATAATATCATGATGAAATGTCTGTAGCAACGTTATATGTAAAGTTATGAAATCCCCCTTTATGATGTTATTAGCACGTGTCCAAAACCACACAGCCCTGCCTAAGCAACGGCTGTTAAATATTCCTGTTCTAAACAAAGGAATGTGTGTTTACCTCAGTTTCCATAAAAGTAGTAAATAGGATCCTTGAGACAGCAGAGGAAGGAAATGGCAGGGGACAAAGCAAATTTGCATTTCAACAAACCCAGGTGGGAAGAAAGAACATGGATCCTTTTTCATCATCAGACTCCATGTCATTTTCTTTACTGTTTGCATAAACTTTGCTTTGAAGGCTAATCTTCAGAAGAATCCATTTCAAAGGTTCACTGGACTAGAAGAGAGAAGGGCAGAGAACCCCAAGTTCTTTCACCTGAGAAGACAAAGGCACCAGCACCTTTGGGCCTCTGGGAGAGATCCTGACCAAGTAGAGTCAGTCACCATCTTGCTGGAAGACATGAATTGAGAAAGGCCAATTTGAGCAGAGGCCTTGAACCAAAACTTGCTAGATTAAGTTTTAGACTTTTAGATGTGTGTTTTAGCTTTTAGTTGCTGGTAACCACTTCTAACTTCATCTCTTATATTTGAATTCACTTTAAAACTATCTTCTTTTGTTAATAAACTTGTTTTATTTTTTAATCTAAATCATTCCAGTGCTGTGTTTAAACTGAACTGTTTGGTAACTTCACGTAAAGTAGCAAACTATTGCTTATTGACTGCATAGGAGCAACTTAACTTTAATAGCTGAACTGTCCAGGAGAGGGCCTGACAGTGCAGAATACACATTTTGGGGAAAATTTGGGACTGGGAGTGTGTTGGGGTCACCCTTCAAGTAATAACCGAGGCTGGTGGAAGCCAGAGCATGACTAGTGTGTTGCTGACAGGCTGTTGGACCAAGAGCTGCTGGACCAGGGCTACCATTATACAAAGACACTTAGGGTGTAACCTGCATGGTGATAGGCTGTTTATGAGTGGCCCAGGCTGGGAGCTACAACAGTAAAGCATTGTGAGACACCCAGGGTTACAGGGCAGGTGGCGAGATAACCCCTCACTGATCTGGATTGCACCACAGAATGTGATAGTGATGTAGTCAAAGCAGGATTTATACAAAGCTTGTTATTTTAACTGAGGTTTACACTTCAATCACTGGTGTAACACTTTTAAGTGATTCTCAAGTGTGGTGGGTGGGAACAGTCAAAAGAAAGGTTACAGCTTTATTATTTTCTGTTTGTTTATTTCAGGAAAGGAAAATAGAACAAAAGTAAAGCATAAACATGAGCGACAGTGAAGCAACTACAAAGTGAGAGCTGGTCAGGCTGGAGAATGAGTAGAAAGAAAACGAATGTGGACATCAGAAATGGTTAGCTGAGCAGAAAGTCGGAAATAGAGATGAGAGCCAAGGAGAGGGAGGCCAAAAGGAAGCAGCAAGAAGCAGCATGTTGGCGGGCCATGGAGCTGAAAGAGTTGGAAGCCCAAGAAAAAGAGAAGGAAAGACTGCCTGCCCAGAGCATAAGGGACAGGCGGGGCAGAATCTGCCATCCCCAGTTACTCCCTCCATCCAAGGAACACCCAGCTGGGATAAGTTGTGCCCTGCATACAAGGAAACAGACTGTACTGAAGCATACCTCATCAGTTTTGAAAGGTATGCTTTCAAGTGAACTACATAAGTGAACTACATAAAGTTCCAGAGGACAGGACAGTCCCCATTCTGATTGCAAAACTCTTGAGTAAAACTTTACATGTATTTAATGAAATGCAGATTGGAGAAGCTTTGATATATCCTGAATTTAAAAAAGCTGACTGGCAAAAGGATTCAAATTACCCCTGAGGTGTACAGGTTGAAATTTAGAAATCCCAGGAAAAGTGCTGGAATGAGTCATAGTGAGTGCCTATAAAATGTGTGACCTAATGAGAAGTGCAATATGGCATACACCTTTAAATTCTCTACTGGAAGTTGCCATCCTTTGATAAGAAACTTCTTATTTTCTCTATAAATAGATCTAAGTGCTGTGGTGCTAAGCAAGGTGCTGGTCCTGAGCTGAATCTTTCACACTGGGAACAGGAGGCTTGGTAGTTCTGAAAGTGTCCAGGGGATAAGGGGCTGGATGCTGCAGGGAGCACTCCGAGGACTTGGGGGTTGGTGCGTGCCTCTTGCTACTGGTACACAGAGAGCGAGAACTGAGGAGGCCTGAAGGTCAGTGCTTGTGTTGCCAGAGATTGGTGGTTTCTGGGAGCTGTTTCACAGCAAGCACAGATAAGACTTCCTTATGCTAAGGGTCAGTGGTGGAGAGGTGCATCACAACCCTGGGTACCCCTGGGCAGCGTCTGTTCCAAATCTACCCCTAATTCCATCCATCAGCTCTATTCAATTCCTGGACATGCACTTCCAGAGTTATTTGGGAAGGGGAAAAAAGCAGAATGAAATAGGAATTTCCATGGGATTACAGTGGCACCCCCTTTGTCTGCCTCAATTGTGATGAATACATTAATGGGGCCAACCGACGACTCTCCAGCACCACCTACTATAATGAACTCAAAGACAACCCCACACCACAGTTTACCCAATTTAAGGATATCATCAAAACCTTCCCCAGATAAACAAGGGAACCCAGGCAGATCCATTATATCTGGCCACGGCACTCTTACTGAAGCAATATCGGGACTCATAGAAACGATCCTCAAACCACTCCTCACACAAAGGGCCAGCTTCCTCTAGGATACAACCTACTTCCTCAGCAAACCCGCAACAACAATGACCTCCCTCAGAACATCATCTTTGCCCCATGGATGTCACCTCCCTATACCCCAACATCCCTCACAAAGACCGCATAGCTGCCTGCCTCAAATATTTACAAGACAATGGACAACCCTCAGATCTCCACCCCAAATACATTGCCAGACTCATCCATTTCATCCTCACCCATAACAATTTTACATTCAACAACAAACACTTTGTCCAAACCATGGAAACAGCCAAGGGTATTATGATGGCTCCCCAATATCCCAACCTCTTTGTGGCCACCTTGAAAATTTCTGGACAAATGCACCACGAAATCAGTGATATACCTGAGATACATTGATGATATTTTCATCATCTGGACAGATGACTTCAACTCCCCCATGGATTTCCATCACAACTTCAACAATCACCATCCTTCTATTAAACTCTCTCTGGAACACTCCCACACCAGCATCCACTTCCTGGACACCATGAAGAACTTCAGCAATGGAACCCTACAGGCAACTATCTACAAGAAACCCACAGATCTCCACCCCTACTTCATAGCACTAGTAACCACCTCAAACGCACCATGAAATCTGTTATCTACAGCCAGGCACTCAGATACTACAGAATATACTCTAAGGAGAAAATCCAGGATACACATCTCAACACACTCAAAACTGCCTTCACCAAAAAAGGACACTCCACCAGAGAAGTAGATAGCATCACGGAACAGGCCACCCAAATACCCTGAAAAAACCTGCTTCAATACAGAAATAAAACCCACTCTGTCTGCACACCACTAGTTGTCACGTACCACCCCATACTGGAATCCATATGGGATATCATCAAACAGCTACAACCCATACTCGGTGGGGACCCCATCCTGAAAAAAATCTTTCCTGAACCCCCTCTTCTGGTCTTCAAACAACCCCCACAACCTCTCTAAGGTCATCATTAGAAGCAAGCTCTCCATAGACCAGGACACACCAACTCAAAGCAGCAGAACAGCAGATGCAAAACTTGCAGACATGTCTCCACTTGTATGATGATCAATACCCCCCACACGACACCTTTCAAAATCTATGGGTCCTACACTTACCTATCACAACATGTGGTGGTGTACCTCATCCAGTGCACTAAATGCCCCAATAGTAACTGTGTATGAAACCAGACCATCACTACACTCTCGAATGAATGTCAACAGGAAAATGATAAAAGACAAAAACACCATATCACCTGTGGGTGAACACTTTTCACGAAGCCATCAATCTATATCTGATCTATCTGTCCTCATCCTCAAAAGAAACCTGCAGAACACTTCCAAAAGATGAGCCTGGGAGTGTAAATTCATAACTTTGCTAGACACTAAAAATCATGGACTGCTTTCCCCCTGCACCACTTCCTTTCCTCCCCCTGACTGGAGGGGTGTTAATGGGTCACGTCACCTGGAATGGTCCCTTGAAGTATGTGTTTACTTATGATAAACAATCTGTTCAAATCTGCTATTTAGCAGTGACACCTTGAGTTAGTTTCCCAGCCCTGAAGAAGAGCTTCATGTAGCTTGAAAGCTTGTCTCTCTCACCGACAGAAGTTGGTCCAATAGAAGATATTACCTCACCCGCCTTGTCTCTCTAATCTCCTGAGACCAACATGGCTGCAACAACACTGCGTACCACACAGGGTATTGTTAACTATACTGTTTGGAAACCATTCATACAAGAAACAAGGCCTGAAAACTTCCCTCTCCCAATTACATTATTATTATTTTAGTTGCCTCTTATGCTGTTGGTCTGAAGTTATAAATAAATGCTACATTACTCAACACATGGCTCTCATCTCTTGTTAATGAGCCCTTAAGCAAATAGTAATTTCACAGAAATATTACTGTTAGGACTTTCCGCAAACCCTAAGCACCAGGGCAATTTCAGTTAATTTTCCCAACTATTCCCCATGGAATGGCCCGATGCATTGTCCTGTCATGGAATAGCTAACAGCTCTACCACCACTAGATGCTAGAAGAGCTACTAGAGTCTTACATTTATTGATGACCGTGTCAGAGATTAGTACCCCTTCTGGTCTGAGAATTAAACACCAAATCCTCAGCTGGTGTAAATCCGTGTATCTCTATTGACTTTAGGGACTTGAAATCAGTGGGGCTATGCTGCTTTACACAAGCTGAGGATCCAGCCCTAGAACTGTTACTAGCAGCACAGGGAGGGAAGGATAGTAGTGGCAAAGAGGGAAAAGGAGGGGGAAAGTGGCAGGGCTAAGAGCAAGAGTGGGGGACAAGCAGTCTGCATTTTAAAACTATTCACCACAACTTGTACACATCTTTTTTTTTTTTTTTTTTAAGTGGAGTTAAAATGGGGCCTCACTGCAATTTGAAGAGTTATATCATAGAGCTGGGAACTTTATACTAAATGATTAACACAGACCCAGATCTTTGGCAACAGACAAGGAGCACAGAGTGCAGCTCAGGAAGGGAAGGAGAAACCCTACTGAAGCCAATGTGCTTGAGTGTTCAGCAGCTGTCTCCCATTTTGCACTCTCAGATGTGTGTGCACCCAAATGATGGGATGGTGACATCTAATTACTTGGCTAAGATCATAAATCAGTCATCTAATTTGCACATAGCTGCGAGCAAAGAGGTCAGATTGAAGCACCTTTCAGAAGGATGGCCAATTCATAACATTTGTCCATGCAATGTGCACATCTGAATGTATAAGTGTCTTATAACTGCCTTTATTTTTCCTTTGAATGAATTTTGGTTGTAAAGACTATTAATCTGTTCTTCATTCTTTAAACTTGGAATTATTCAGGGCATATTGCTTGTCTTTACCTGAGAAATCTGTGTTGCAGGGTTACTCACTGGCACATTTTCAGTTTCTCCTGTGGGAATAAAGAACTGCAGTCAATTAAAATGACTTATTATGATTGCTATAAATAACTGGAGCAGAGTGCTGTGCCATCCTCCTCAAATGCAAATCTCTTTTCAGGACTTAGTCCTGTTCTGGGAGATGTGGAGACCCCATAGTTTGCAAAATCAGCTGCAGTTATAACATGGGAATTGCCAGACTGGATCAGACCAGAGGTCCATTTATTACAGTATCCAATCTCTGACAATAGCCAGGTCTGGATACTTCACATGAAGCTGCAGGAAACCCCCTAGTACACAGTTATGACTCCTGCCCACTAAGAGTTCCTTCCTAACCACCATCAGTTAGTAGTTGGTGTATGTCCTGAAGCATTATGGTTTTATATCCTTCCTAAAATTCTGTTTTTTAAAAAAATCCTATCTGTGTGTTCCCATTATCCATATCAATTTTTCAATCCTTCTTTAGCATCCTTCTGAGCTCTTGGCCTTTGTTATATTTTGTGGCAATGAGCTCCACAGATTAATTGTGTTGTGGTTTTTTTTAAAAAACCCTATTTGCTTTTATTAGCTTCAAATGTGCTGGTTTCAGTTTAATTGAATTCCCCTTTGCTCTTGTATTATGAGACAGGGCTTAAGATTTTCAAAAGCACTTATGTGATTTAGAAGCATAAATCCCATTTTCAAAAGTGACTTAGATGCTTAGGTGATTAACTCTAGGGCTGGTTGAAAATTTTTCATCTACACTGTTCTTTGATGGAAAATTAGGTTTTGGTTTAAATGATTTTTTTTGCAAAAAGTGTCTCATTTCTGCAGAAAACTGATTTTTCCACTGAAGACCTTGCATGATGAAAGAAGGCATTTTGGGGTAGACCGGACACTTGAATGGTAAGAAGCAGGGACTATTGGCCCAGATTAGCAAGGGATGGAGAGGAATATTATAAGAATCGTGCCAGATGTTTAGCTCTGAAGATGGCACCCAAACCATCTGACCAGTGAGTTAACATCCATAGCAAGTGACCCATGAATCTTGTGTGTATTGACTTTCTGTCCTTTTAACCTGAGAACAAAAGGAACACTAACGTATTAGTGGAAATAGATCATTTCACTTGATACGCCCAAGCATTCTCCAATGTGCTACCCACTATAGCCAAGATATTATGGGACAAGTACTTTATGCACTATGGGTGGCCTGCCAGAATCCACTCTGATCAGGGGCATGACTTTGAAAGTAGACTTATCAAAGAAATATTACAAATAATTTGGGATCAAACCTGGGACCTCTTGCTCTTAATGCATGAGCCTCTACTACCTGAGCTAAAAGACACCTCTGTCAGCCAAGCCTGTAGCAGGCTCATCAGTTTCCTGCTGGCCTAGCCACCACTAGAGGGGAACAGAGTGCCACATTGAGCAGGCAGGGCTTACTTGTTGTATCTGTTATACCTTGTAAAATTGCCAGTTACAGAGAATCCACCACAGTTCTTGGTAAGTTGTTCCAAAGGTTAATTACCCTCACTGTTAAAAATGTATGCCATATTTCCAGTCTGAATATGTCCACTTTCAACTTCCAGACATTAGATCTGATACCTTTGTCAGCTAGAGTGAAGAGCCCATTATTAAATATTTGCTCCCTATGGAGGTACTTTTAGACTGTCGTCGAGTCACCCCTTAACTTTCTCTTTGTTAAGCTAAATAGATGGAGCTCTGTTGTGATAATTGGACCTAGAAATGTACCCTAATTGTATTCAACTATAAAAAATGAGTGTAAGTTCATAACATGTCACAATAACTTACAACAACAAATGTTGATAGAAAAAGGTATGAAATGGACAAAAAGACGGAATTAACAAACAAAAAGGCCTGCTGCTATAACTCAAGGATTGTGATCATGCCTGGTAAGCAAGAAAAGTGTGGAACCAGAAATCAGTTTATCAAAACTGGTGTGTTGGAAAAATTCATGGACAAAATAATGAAGGGACAGGCTATTGTGCCCACCATTCCCTTCATGGGTCCTTAAAGAAGGAGACTTTGGGAGGAAAACCGGCTACTAGACTGAACCTTACCATCATGGCCACTACACCCACCATCTCCTAGGACCCCAGTCCTGAGAGATAACCGGGCCAAAGAGAGGGACCCAGATGACACCACCACCTCGACTGGTTCTGGCTGAATCCTGAGTAGAGCCTGGGATGTGAGACTTTGTCTCTCTCTACCCCATGGGTATCCTTTTCCTTCTCTACTTTTTCTTCTCTTTCCCATCCCTCTCCTTTTTCCTTCTATCTAACAAGACTCTGGTGTAGCCAGCCAAGACTGTGTATTTTGGAACACTGCTATAAGCCTCAGAGGAACAGCCGTGTTAGTCTGTATTCGCAAAAAGAAAAGGAGTACTTGTGGCACCTTAGAGACTAACCAATTTATTTGAGCATGAGCTTTCGTGAGCTCCAGCTCACTTCATCAGCTCATGCTCAAATAAATTGGTTAGTCTCTAAGGTGCCACAAGTACTCCTTTTCTTTTTGCTATAAGCCTGTGACCAAAAAGAGGCAGCTGAAAGCAATGCCCTGAACAGCCTGATGCTAGTATGAGGTTTGCCAAGACTCGGCGTGGCTAATCAGACCATGTGCTGTGCTTGTGTTTATCCAGTAATGAGGTTGCAAGTAAGAGGCAACACCAGACACACAAGCTGCATTTCCTATCTTTGCTGTTCTTTTCTTTCCCCTTTGGCGTGTTTGTGTCTTGTTTTGTCTTGTACAAAACAGGATCAGACTTTAACAGCAGCAGCAGCAGTGACAGCTCCAACCCATCTCAACTAGCTTCTCTTTCCCCCAAAAGCACAGTTATTACCATCTTTCATACCATCTTAAAGACTCAAATGGTTTTTTTCCTTCTAAGGCCTTTCTCTAGCCAAAGGGAAAGGGAACAAGGGATGTTGTTACAATGAAAGCCATATTTAATAATATACATTTCAAATGCTTTAACTGTATTTCTTTCTTTTCTGTATCTTTAATAAACTATCAAAAGGCTGTTTGGTCGTGTGTTTGCCATGGTACTAAGTAGGCTGAGGTCTCTGTATACCAAACCCTGGACCTTGTTTAACACTGTGTAATGTTGGATAGAGTGACTGGCTCATATTAACACTGTTCGCCCATATTTCACCTAAGTGAACCCAACAGCTCCTTGACTCTATCACTATAAGGCAGGTTTTCTAACCCTTTAATCAGTCTCATTGTCAGAGCCATGCTAATACCTGGAGAGCTCAGAGAACAGGTGAAAAGACTGGGGCATATGCTGGTACATGCCGATGCTTTTCCTTTGTTCTGTTACTATTGGTTTCTCTCATGCTGGCCTGTGACACGTAATTCATGCAACATCTGCACTGGAGGACCATCCTGAATCTGATTCTGGGGTTTAAGCGAGCTCTGTTCATGGGATCAGTGAACTGGTATCATACTTCCAAGGACCTTGTTGCAGCTGCCACATATATGAAGTAGGAAGCTAAAGACTGAGGGCTAGATTGTTCCTAGCCCTAATGCAATTGCACAGGGGAGGAGGAGTGGACATGTTGGAGTTTCCTGGATTGCAACTCCCAGCACTCAAAGAACTACAGCTGCACCTCAGAGCAAGTGGCTGCAAATTGTTCCCCACAATGCAATTGGGGAGCTTTCTGAGGTGCAGTGCCTCTCAGCATCCTCCTTGGGTGGCCTTGCTAAGCCCCTTTGTGCCTTAAACGACATAATCTAGCCCTAATTAGTTTGCCCCTGAGGGGGAACTGGATGACTGCCAAGGAAAACAGGGCACCTGTGCATTGCCCTATTATAGTCTCAGTGATGTCCTGATTCAGGGAAACATGAGCTAATTCTCCATGGAATAATGGAAGTAAGAGACAGAAGAATTACTAGGTCTTCATGTTCATCTCTTCCCCCCACATTCCAACATCGTCTGGTGTGTTCTCCAGCCTAGTTTTAGTTGGGCCTCCAGCCCTAAAGGTTGGGTGGGTGTGTTGCCAAAGGGCTCTAACACTGACAGGACTGATCTGCATTGCTTGATGCTGAACCTGTCTGATGAAATAAGGGAAAGAGGCAGTATGCAAGGTGCAATGATATGCAGTATTGCCAACTTCACTCAGCCCGGTTCTTTGCTTTGCTTTCTGGCTCTGGCCCTGCAGGGTGCAATCGGGTCATATTTTCAAGCTTTTCACTGCAACCATGAGAACTAGAAACACACTTTTGTTTTAAAATACAAGCTGAGTGTCTCTCAAACTCACATGATCCAGGAACTGGGTCTTTGAGAAAAAAAAAATCCAATATGGTGAGACTAACACTTAAATCCTCTGCCTGGGGGGAGGTTGGGCAACCCTCCGACTGACTCCCCCCACCTGAGGGGAGCGTGGGCAACGCCATGACTGTCTTGTGAAGGTCAAGACCATAACAGGGTTCAAAAAAGAACTAGATAAATTCATGAAGGATAGGTCCGTCAATGGCTATTAGCCAGGATGGGCAGGGATGGTGTCCCTAGCCGCTGTTTGCCTGAAGCTGGGAATGGACAATGTGGGATGGATCACTTGATGATTCCCTGTTCTGTTCATTCCCTCTGGGGCACCTGGCATTGGCCACTGTCAATAGACAGGATACTGGGCTAGATGGACCCTTGGTCTGACCCAGTAGGGCCATTCTTATGTTCTTATGTCTCCCCCTACCTGAGGGGAGTGCGGGCGATCCCCTTGCTGTCTCCCCTTTCCTGTTCTATTAGAATGGATAATAGGTTTATAGATTTGTATTAGAGTATTTTGGCAGTAAAATGAGGAACCTACAGGCCACGTCCTGTATGATGAGCTGAAGCAAGTTAGCATACTTATGCTTTTTACCTTTGGCATAGATAAGTGGCCAACTGATTGCCCTCTATAAACTTAACAGGTATACCACAAAGAACATGGCAATAACAACCACCAAACCAGTTCAGGCCAGAAATAACAGATGTGCGGATGAACTAATTGTCATTAATACATATAAATATGCCATGTGACACAGGGCCAGAAAGGGTTACACAGTTAGCAGGCTAATTGACCCAGATTCAGCCTTTAGAGACACATTAGTAGATAATTTTTGTGTGTTTACATATATATTTTTAGAAGTTGACAATGTAACCAAACAGTTCCTGTCTATCACTGTATTCTGTTAATTCAGAGATCAAAAGATTTAAATGAACTGTAAATGTAGGGATATCACTGTCTTAACTTCTCTTTGAAGTTTGTGGTAAATCACCTGAAAATGGTGGGAAATAGGCAATTGCCTTATGTTAATCCATGTAGCTAATTACCGGTGATGCTTAGGAAATAGTACTTCAAAGCTAGGATGATTGCCCATTGTTCACCCAAGGACTACATGCTGTCAAGAGGCTTCTCTGGGAACTGTGTAAAAGTCTCTTGGGACCTGATCCTTTCATCTCAAATTGGCTTACGCTTCATCAGGGGAAGCCTGACTTCCATTCTGGAGCACTCTGATATTAAACATTGGACTGAACCCATAGACTCATTCTGAAAGAACTCTTTGCAACTCTAAAGCTCACCATCTCTACTATGAAACTGACCTAAGAAATTTATTCATCTCTGTATGTATAACGATCATTTATCCAATAAACTTTCTTTTATTTTTTAATAAATTTTAGTTTAGTTAATAAGAATTGGCTGTAAGCGTATATTTGGGTAAGATCTGAAATTCATTAACCTGGAGGGTAATGTGTCTGATCCTTTGGGATTGGTAGAACTATTTTATATGATAAACAAGCTTTTCAGTAATCCTCATCATATTTGGCTATCTGGGTGGAAGCCCAAGGCTGGGTTGTTTTAAAGGAACTGTATTCTGGCTTGTGGGTAACCAGTAAGGTATTGTAGAAGCAGTTTTATTGCTGGCTGGGTGAATCAAAGTATTGGAATAACCACCAATTTAGGGATTGTCTGCCCCATTCTTTGCAGTTTGAGCAATCTCAGTGTGGCGCTCCTGGGACTTACATAGAGTAAGTGTACCCTAACATTATGTGGGTGAGGAAATGAAGTTTGGATATGGAAGGTGAGCATACAGTGCTCAGGCTCTATAAGAGAGGCAAATCACCATGTTTAGTTAGTTAATTTTAGTCAGGTTTTAAGTTAGTTTCTCTTGGGTCTTTCTATAGCTTTCTAGGTCTCTACCTTCTCTTAAATTCTTCATCTTCCACTCAAGAATTGAGGAACCTGGAGCATCGGACTCTTTGGCATGCCAGAGGAAAGGCTGATCCTTTGTCTCTTACCACCAGGTTATCTAGGAAGAGTGTGAGTATATTAATCTAAGAAGCTTTATAGTAAATGATATCAAATGTACCTCTAGAACAGTATTATTATTATTATTCTGTAATTCTGATTGATTACTTTTCCCTTTATGTCAATAAAAGTCTTTAAGACTGTATTTCTGTTCTCAGAGTGAGTGTCTTTGTCATACATCCCCAGGGTACTTCCAAAACTCTGTGTAGCCTGACTCTGAGACAAGAACCGTATTATCATCTAATCAGATTAATTGGTGAGCCTATAACCATATTATATAAACAATAATAATAATCCCCTAAAATCAGGCAACAGCGCAGATTTATTTTAATGAATATATCTTAAAACAGACAATGGGAAAATTAAGATGGGAGCTCAAAGGCAAATGCAATTATTATTAAGTAATATAGGCACTGATGGATCTAGCAGAGAGGAGCCAGGAGTGTGAATAAGAGGGAGAGGGCTCAGCTGCAATTGGAACCCCTCTGATGACATAATCCGGGTAGTGAACTCCTCTTTGAATCCAGTGGTTTTGTATTTAGGAATGCTGGATCCAGGAGTTGATGAGCTAATGGGGAAAGACTTGGTCACTTCTTTGATGTCTTAATATGAAGGGCTCGAGGGTGATTCTCTGGCACCGTGCCCCAAGGAAAAGGTGATTCAGAGATGCACCCCCCTGGCAAGATCAGGGAGGCAGAATTATTTCCAGAGGGGAAGTGTTCAGGTGTGTGTGAAGGCAGCACTGTTGCTCCTGAGCTCCTGCCCAGTTCCTCAGGGCAGTGCAGACATGAGAGAGGAAGGGCCATGGCTCCCCTCCTCCTCTGCCCCCTTTGGAGTATCTTCTCATGCTAGTTTGTTACACGTGGGAAAGCCCACCAAAGTCAGTGGGGGTCTTTCCATTGGCTTCAGTGGGTGTGGATCAGGATCACTTCTATTAAGTGCTGACTCTACACCAGATTCTGTAGCCTGCTGCTGAGCAGGGGCAGATGGGGAAGGGCTCCCGCCCTACAACCTTTGCACTGTTCGGAGCAGAGCTCCTCTTTAAGGTCAGTGGGTATCCAGCTGAAATTTGCCTCACGCACCAGGTCCAGGGCATAACATGCTAACACAGAGCTGGGGGACGTTAGATTCTTGAGCTACCTTCTCATTTTCTGCTGTGACACCAAATGAATCTCAGCAGTCTGGGGGGGATATCAATTAATTGAAGGCATTCTGGAGTAAATTTCCATTTCAGCTGGCTGTAATGCATGGGACCGAGGTGCACAGACCTAATTTAGTAAAACTAATTTAAAAAATTAACCCCATTGTTCCCATGCTTAATTTAAGCATTGTTCCCATGCTTAATTACTTGTGGATATACAGCCCATACTCTGGAGAAGAAAATACAAATGTACTCTGCTCTCATTTATGCCCTTCCTCTGAAATCCTTTTGCACCATCAGAATTTGACCCTTTCTGAGAAAGGTCAAAGACTGTAAGACCAAAGCCTGGCTCTTGTCCATTGCTCAAACTTACACACTAATACAACAGCTGAATTAATATATACTTAAATACTTTAGCTTTTTCTCATGCTTTTTCTACCTGTCATCCTAAAAGATCTGAAGCCTTCAGCTTCAGCAGTTACTTCACCAACACAGAAATGCAGCCACCTCTGAGGTGGCGAGCAGCAGTTCCTCCACAGCATACAGCAATATCACACAACAGTTTAGGATGGAAAGTGAAGAACACTGCAGCCAAACGAAGCTGCAAGAACAATTCAGACAGGCCAGTGAAAGCTGAAGTACTGAATCTGCAACCACTTAAGCATGTGCTAACCTGTACGTACCAGAGAAGTCCTGTTGACTTCAAGGAACTACTCATAAAACTAAGTATATACTGAAGTGATTGCAGGATTGGGGCATAAATTGGAATTTGGTCACAGAACACTAAGATTAACATCAACCCTCTTGTGAAAATTGACTTGAGATCGTCAAGGGCTCAGGACCTTATGTCTCTTGGGAAAGACTTCATCTCCAACAGCGGGGTGTCCCTGTAGGCCATGATGCTATAGTACTGCTTTGGCACGGGTTTTCACTCTAAATATGATGTGTGTCAAATAAACTAAAAACAAATCATTTAAATGGGTTCTGTTCTAAATTTCAAAGTTATGGAATAAAGACCTATCCTTGCATGTATCTGTGCACAGAACTGAAATATACAGATTTGCATGTGAAAGAACTGTATGATCTAACCCCAACTTTTCCAAAACACACTGTTATCTGTTTCCATTCCACCCCATCCCAACAGGGTTTTAACAGCATATTGGTAGGTATGAAGGTTAAGTCCATTAATGGCTATTAGCCAGGATGGGTAAGGAATGGTGTCCCTAGCCTCTGTTTGCCAGATGGATGGCAGGAGAGAGATCACTAGATCGTTACCTGTTAGGTTCACTCTCTCTGGGGCACCTGGCATTGGCCACTGTCGGTAGACAGGGTACTGGGCTAGATGGACCTTTGGTCTGACCCAGTATGGCTGTTCTTATGTTCTTGGTATAAGTAATGAATGAATCAGGTCCAAATTCTGCAAGGACCTTAGCACATGCTATATTTTAAGCAGCCCGTGCTTAAAGTTAGGCATGTGCTTAAGTATCTTCTAGAACTGGGGCCTAAGACATATGTGATATAAAATGCTTTCATTAATAAAATCAGCTTCTCCCCAGGTGAGCAATTCACAATTCATTGTCAGATTCTCAAACTGAAAATATCTGCAATACAAAGAATGTGACCGATACAAAGCCCCTATAGATCTCCTTTGAACTCCTAATTTCTGTATTGAAATACTTTTTAAAATGTTCTACATTTGTTGTTAGCTTTTACTTTTTAATAATTTGACAAGGTAATGGATAGTTCTACCCCCTACCCTCCTTCCTCCCCCCACACCCCCCAGATTAGAGTAAAACATTTTTGGTTTCTAGATGAAATGAGTGGGATTTTCCAAAGCACTCGGGCACAAATCCTCAAAGGTATTTAGGTTCTTAACTCCTATTGAAATAAATGGAAATTAGGTGCCTAAATAACTCTGAGGGATCTGGGCCTCAGTGCTGGTCTGAAGTCAACTGTAGATTTACCAATGGCTACAGAAGGAGCAGCATTAGAGCAGTGCTGAGAGCTTTTGAAAATCTCTCTTTCCGAAAGGTCTCTTTTACAGAGCTGGGTTGTGTTTTCCAAAGGAGTGATTTCTCTTGCTGGAGAGGGCTTTGTTTTTTAGTTAACCTCTATCAAAGAGTGCACTTTACCTTCTTGTTTGTTTGAATCCATGGCTGTGCTTTGCTGCTCGTCCTCCCTGGGGAGTTCTGCCTCTGGCCTCACTTCAGAGGGCTTTTATTGTTCACTTTGGAATAACTAGCGTGTGAGTTCAATGAGGAGTTGGATGATCCAAGCCCTGTTTTCAGAACAAGTATAAGGGGGTTATTGAGCTAGAGTATCTTGAGGCAGACATTCAGAGCAAACACTGAAGGAGAGAGAGAACAAGTTGAACTCTCATGTCCCAGGAGGGGCTACAGAGACATGGTGACAGCACAGAACCCCTCTCCCTTTAGTCTTTCATAAACGCCATGTTCTCAGGACCAGGTGCTGGCAGAGAAGAGGTGGGTGGGTAGGTTTCCATCTGCTTACCCCCTTTAGACTCTTTCCTAGCCAAGGAGAGAGGCCTCGTGGCTTGTTAAACTCTGAGGCAAAACAACCTTGTTCTGAAGCATTTGATGAGTACTTACGGAAATGCACTGATTAAAGCACATGAGCGGCAGTGCAAAGAAGCATGTCTCCCTCTCCGCATTCTACTGACATTTGTCTGCTGAACACTCCATAAGCCTGTCTATGGGCTGAGTTATTCACTCAAGAGATGCTCATTATACAGGGTTTATGACTGGTCTCACCGCTGCTCAATGCTGTCCAGTCCCCCTGACTTTCAGAGGCGATGGACACCTGTAGCTCTCCTTGAGGTTACTGGGTGCTGTCAGTGTGCAGCACCCCTGAAAATCAGGCGCAAAGAGCATGACTACCTTTCCAGCTCACTCCCGCACAGACAGCACAAGCATTCCTCTCCACCCCTTTACAGTCCCCTTGGAGCTCAATCTTCTCCTTGGTAAAGCACCCCAGGGTTTCACCAGAGGGATCGGGTCATTCCAAATCCCAGACTACCTCATTGGCCCCCTGCAGACTAGGAAGTTGATGCTACTGAGGACTGCCCCCACAGTCTTTCGGACCCCCCACCCAAAACAAAAAAAAAAAAAAAAAAAGAGAGAGAGCTGATCTGTATCACGCTCTTTGGATATGAGTCACCCAGCATGTCTCTTCTTCCCAGAAGCCTGAATGTGAGGAGATGGGAGCCCCTCCCAGCAGTCAGGAGGACAGTGTACCACACAGGGAGGGCCTGTGGACTTTGAGGGATGCTGCTCCTAATGAAGTTAAATATTAAAAGCACTGATCGATTGGATTCAGTTTAATAGTCTCATTTGGTGACTGTTTCTTGTGCCTCTTGTGTAGCCACAGAATGGATCCCCGTGCAGAGTTCAGAGTGCTGGGGACCGTTGGGACAGGATTTAGGCCATGTGCCATATGCCAGTGGTTCTCAACTAGGGGTACGCATCTCCCTGGAGGTATGCAGGGAGATTCCAGGGGGTACATCAACTCATCTCGATATTTGCCTAGTTTTAAAGCAGGCTCCATAAAAAGCACTAAGGGAAGTCAGTACAAACTAAAATTTCATACAGACAATGACTTGTTTACACTGCGCTATATACTATACACTGAAATGTAAGGACAATATTTATATTCCAGTTGATTTATTTTATAATTCTATGGTAATGTTGGGAACACTGGAGCATGGCCACTAGGTAACTCGAGGGGATGTAAGACCACGAGTGTCGATGAAGCCCCCTCGCACTAGGCCCCGGTGTCCTTGCCCCCCCCCGCCTGGAGGCACTCGCAGCAGCTCTGTGTGCTAGGCCCAAGTGTCCTTGGTCCCCCCGCCTGGAGGCACACACAGCAGTTATGCTGAGAATCTGCAACAGTATGTTGCAGAGTCAGACTGCCTGAAACTAAGCAAGGCCAAACAGGGGAGATATGGAAGAACAATGCTGAATAAAGCAGCTTTATGTATAGTTTAACAAATGATACAGAGAATCAGGGAACTAGCTGGGAACTGGATTGGCTGGCTATATGGATACTTGGAGCAGCTTGCTATTGGATAAGTATGCTGGGAAAAAGGATGTATAAAAGCCTGTGTAACTTCCTGCTCTGTTGTACAGGATTTGAGATTCAAATCTCCCTGTACCTTTTTGAAGCTTCAAATAAACTTTTCTGCTTCTCCACCCCATTGTGATTATTGGGTGTAGCATACCGGGTAACGAACCAACTCAAGCTGTTGTTCAGCCTCTCGGCACTGGGTGCTGGCAACAGTAAAAATGAGAAAGTCAGCATTTTTTCAGTAATAGTGTGTTGTGACACTTGTATTTTTGTCAGATTTTGTAAGCAAGTACTTTTTAAGTGAGGTCAGGGGCGACATATTCTTTCTAAAAGTCTGGGGGGTGGGGGGAAACAAGACCTCCCCATTCTGGTGCTCCTGAGTGAGCTAGAATTTGGGGTTATGAAAGACAAATCAGACTCCTGAAAAGGGTACAGTCATCTGGAAAGGTTGAGAGCCACTGCCATATGCAATGGCAACCGGAGCATCGGTAAATATCCCTGGGAGAACTTGGGGTGACCACACATAGGCCGAAAGATACTTTACTGAGGAGTAAAGGCACATTGAGACCTAAGATATCTCCCCAGACCATGGGATACAAGCAAAAGGAGAGGTCAGTTGGGGATCTGGCTTTCCACGCATGCTCTGCAAGCAATAGGCCTGCTCTGTCTGGCAGAAGGACCAGTGACTGAGGGAACAACTCCCAGCCAGAGCCTCCTGACTGGGAGACTGCTTTGCCCTGGAGAAACAAAACACCCGATTCCATCTCCAACTGGCCAGAAGACTGCACCTCATTCTACAAGATGCTGACCTGGAGATAGTGGTTTGCAGAGTTCCAGCCTCCAGGTTAGATTATTGTAACACATCGATCAGAGCTAGGAAAAGGTCTAACTGGTGCAAAACGCAGCAACCCATCTGCCCATCATCCCAGCGCAGTAATACCGGCTCCCCAATATATAGTGAGCACAGTGCAACTTCTCCACCCATAACCAAAGCCCTCCATGGGATTGGCCCTTGGCCCCGACTGCCTGAGAGAGCCTCTCACCTCAGCGGCATTCAACTGGAACAATGCAACTGCCAGCCAATAGGTGACCCTAACCCTAACCCTGAACCCAGCATGGTGCTCAAAACGTTCCCAGGAGCTGGAGCTGGACCATGGGACTTGCTACCAGAAGAGATGATGACGACCATGGAATGGGCCGGCTTCACAACAAAATGCAGAGCTCATCTCTGCAGCTGAGTTTCCCCCCAGTCACCATCATGCTTTCTCTCACTCACACAATTGGCCGATCAAGCTGCTTCTCCTACAAACTGACAAGGAAGGCAGAGACTGAGCTTGTTCTTCCTATTTTGCCACACTTGCCAGGTGCTGCTCAGAGAGCCCAGTGATGGGGCCTCTCCAGAACATCCCAGCCCAGGTACCACAGGGACCCACCATGGCAAACCTGATGTAGCAAAGGGACAGTTTAGGGAGAGCAAGAAATTAGGCTAGGAAGGCTTTTTCTGCCTAATGCTTTGCAGCCCTTTGGCTGCAGCTGTCACTGAGGGACGCTCGCCTCCTCCTGCAGACACCCCTCAGGAAGGCCCCAGAAAGGGAGCTAAAATCAGGTTCCTCTCACTGAGTTTTGCCACATCATTCCACTGGGGAAAGAAGTGGCATTTTCCCTCCTCCCTGGGGAAAGAACAGGGTTCTTCCCCTCAAATCAACACATCCCCCCAAATCAGCAGAGATCCCAGGAACCAAAGCCATCTGCAGCAGTGTCCGTCCTGCCCCACCTCTGGCAGCCTTGGCCTCTCACCCCGCCAATTTCCAGTGGTGCTGCACTGCTGTGGCCTCCTCCACTAGTGACTCCCCCTGAAGCTTCCCCTCCTCCCCACAACAGAGGAGTCATTGTTCGAAAGTTAATGCAGCAGGAGTCTGCATCGACTTCTCAGCCGATCGAATGTGGGGCATTGAGACAGAGGGAAGGATAGGAATTTTCCTGTGATCCCAACTCGCCCTATGCTCTTGTGGATCCCTGAACTGTCCATGGAGAGAGAAAGTGCTGTGGAAGAGACAACACCGAAAGGAGGGGATCTATGCATGAAATACTCCCTCTGTGAATGGATCTGGAGCCGGGAAGAGGGTGCATAACCCCCACTCTCTTTTATGAACCACAGCTTCTGCAGCAATGGTGTGCTTGCCTTTCTACCAATATGCAGCATGCAGCTCAGGATGGCACAGATTGGGGAAATGATCAGTTATTTAAAAAAGAGACGACAATGCATGAGCATCAATAAGTTAGTGATAAAGTTTTAACCCAAGCTAGACCTAATATGCTGGCTGCATGGCTTCTATTCATTTGGCTTTTGGTCACATTCAGTTTCTGAAATCATGAATTCACTGTACTAAATACAAAGGAAAGCTAGTTATCCATTTTTGTTGGTAATCATTTTTTTCTCTTTGCTCCCCAAGGGATCTTCAGTGCGTTGCCTTCTTTAACAAATCTAGTTAACAAATATGTTGTGTCAGAATCTATCCACAACCTTACTTGCATAGTTCCCATTTCACAACTGATTGTTCTATTAGCTATCCAGTGCCCATAAAGAGCATACATTTCCTCGGAGGGTAAAAAACAAATGATTTCCTGTATCATTTTACCCCCAGAGTCTGACTAATTCTAATTTTATCTACATACATATATTTCAAATGAGCATGTCTTCCAATTCAGATCTCAGTTTTGCTGCTAAATGGCATGGACTGTTAGCTCTCTTTACCCTTACTCTGATAATTTAGATACAAATCCTTAAAAGTTTGTTTGACAATCTGGGACACTGCACAGGCAAGAAAAGAAATTAGCCAGAAATAATTGCAGTGAATCCAACAACTGAGGAATGGTTTTTGCTCTTAGAAAATACCTAACTACCTGCTTATGTGCTGTAAATCCAACACCTAATAAACACATGCCACTAGCTTTTCCCACTAGCATGAAAAATGCCATTACTAAAACAATTCTAGACCCGAAGCTCAGGACATTTTAAACTTACCCAAGGCTAGGTAAAAGCTCCTTCAGTGGTGGTACTTGTCTGAGTTGGGACTGTAGAAAAAAGAGAGATGAATGCAATGGTAGCCTGATGGTTCCCAGAATGGGACAGTCACATGCTAATCACTCATTTTAAATGCGGGCATCACAAATGCCTTCTAATTATGTAAGCTTCAGGTCACATCCCCGTGGGTAACTCAGGACTGTGTGTTCTGCAGAAGATGATGCGGATTTTTTTTTTACATTAGAATTGTACGTTTTTGCAGAAGGATGCTTTGTAGCCCTGGAAAGTGTGCTAACCCAGGGCCTGAAGCAACAGCCTTGTTTCTGACTGGAGCTGCAGAACTCCACCAGGCTCAGAGGGTGCAGCATGCCTTCCACTCCAGATTGGCTAGACAAGTAGAAAATGGCCCCCACCTCCTCTCTACCCCACAGTAGCACGGACTCTGTGCCACTCCTGAGCTCCTGTTGTTCCTGGGAGTGCAGAGGTCAGGAGAGGCTCCTGGCACCTTCTCCTCCCTTGTTCGTGCACACAAAGGCAGGTGTGGCCCTAGCGGGGTTCCAGAGCCCGAGCTCCAGCCTGACTTCAACTGTCTACCCTGCAGTTAAATAGCCCTTCACCTGAGCCTCACGAGCCGGAGTCAGCTGGCATGGGTCAGCTGTGGGTTTTAATTGCAGTGCAGACATGAAGACTGAGGGCAGCACCAGCAGGGCGAGTGGCAGCACAGGGGAGCAGCAACCATTTATTTTTGGATTCTCCTCAGACTATGATCAATTTTCAACAGAAAAAAGTGAAGGGGGACTGGATTAGCAGCGCTCCACGTCTGCCCCGTTACGGCTCTGCAGCACTCACTCGAGAGACCCTACGGACATTCAGAATGCTTGTGAGGAGGAGGGACAACTCATCTCAAACGTGAAGGGATCAGGAAAAGATTTCTGTTATTCCAGTGAGTCACTCCACCGGAGCAGCCAGAGTAGAAGAAACAACACCCAGCATAGGAGCGATGAACAACAAGAAAAGAAGAACTTGCTCTTGCAGCTACAGGACAAAGTCCGGTCCAGAGGCACCCTTCAGGCAGAGGTAACTGAAATTCAGAACTGTGCAGCCCACTTGAGTACAAACACTGTGGAGCAAAGTAAGTAGCTTAATGAAAAAGAGTCCCAGATAAACAGCTTCAAGGACAGGGAGAGGCTGACTCCTAAGTTATTTGCAGGCCTGCAAAAAGACGATGCCTTGCTTAAATCAAGAATTTAGGACACCGAGACTTGCTGCTGGTGGGCCCATGTGCAGCTGGTCATAGCCCAGAAGGGGAAGAATGAATGCTTCCAGGAGTATTCTGGAGCTCAAGCACTGTATGGAACTTCCTAGGGGGAGCATCTTCCAGATGGCAGAGATGTAGCAGAAGCCACTGCCAGCAGTACTGATGAGCAACGGGTAGCTGAGCCCTCTTCGGCTCCACTCCCACAAAGCTAGGACTTGGGGTCACATGGCCACAGAAATCCCCCCCCCCACATTTCCAGCAGCCTCAGGGAGCAGCACACCCACAAACCCCAAAGCCCGATGACATCAGCAGTAGAGCTGGCCCAAACACAGAACTCCCGATTTGCCGGATATTGTAACATTTGGTCTCGTTCCAGTTCGGTCCAAAACCACAAGCTGGGAATTCCATGAAATATTCATTTCAGAAACACTGATGCATCCCCAGATCTTGGCAGTGACTTATGAAACTGACATGATTCTTGTCAGTTTCATGACTGCTTTTAGTGACTAGCAGTGGTGAAACCAACAAGAATAGTATCTAATTCAGTCTGCAGCTGCCAGGCTCCCACTGGCTCCAGCTCCAGAGCAGCCCTGGAGCCGCAGACCCTAGAAGCCAGGGTCATAGAATCATAGAATCATAGAATATCAGGGTTGGAAGGGACCCCTGAAGGTCATCCAGTCCAACCCCCTGCTCGAAGCAGGACCAATTCCCAGTTAAATCATCCCAGCCAGGGCTTTGTCAAGCCTGACCTTAAAAACCTCTAAGGAAGGAGATTCTACCACCTCCCTAGGTAACGCATTCCAGTGTTTCACCACCCTCTTAGTGAAAAAGTTTTTCCTAATATCCAATCTAAACCTCCCCCACTGCAACTGCAAGGTCCCCAATGGCCCTCCAGGAAACAAGGCTGGAGTCCAGTGGAACCCTGCCTGTGATTTGATAATAGTTTTGTCAAACTCAAGAGGTCTCCACTAAACATTTCCAGTTTGACAAACTGGGATTTTCTGACAAAACAGAGTTTTGTCAGAAAATTCCTGACCAGCTCTAGTCAGCAGTTCCACAGTTTATGAACTGTTGGGCAAGACTGATGGCTGCATGGCTGTGCATCAGGATAGAAACGTGGAGACCACACAAAGAAGAGGGCTGTGGAATCCTTTACAGAGAGCCCCTTACAGTACCTGAGATAAGAACTGCAGTATCACCAGCCCTGAGCCATCATAAATGATGAGCCAGGCCCCAAAAATCACAAGATTTGCTTAGAAATTATGAGACTTTTAACAAATGGTAAATGTTGAGTTGTTTTAATTCACCTTCTAGTTTTTGAGCTTTAGGGGTCATATTTATCCAGCCTTTCACCACAGCCATGAGGGCTAAAAATTTAGTATAATTTTTGTTTTAATGAAAGCTGAGATTCTCACTTAATCACCTCTCCCCCAGGAGCTGTGGCTTTGAGTAAAACACCCAAAATCATGAGAATTGGCAACACTGCTGATTATAAGCTCCCCGCCACAAGAATGACTTATTTCCAAAGCTCTTGGGGGATCCAGAAGCCTTTTCTGGAGACCTTTCTGAACAAATAGCTGTCACCTAAAAATGGTTCTTTATCAGACGGCATAGGTAATCTGGCCTTCAGCTGCAGTGAGTGCCTCTCTGGTTACAGAGAAGGTCATGGACTGTATGTGCGACGCCTGGTAAGTAACTGGGCCAGCCATTTCTTATGTCACACTTGAATACAGTTTGCAATTGTGAATCAGCAGTAGAGGCTATTTGAATCAATTCTAATTTCTGTGGTGAAGCAAGCAGGCCCCATGTGTCTCTCTGTATCATTCCAATTCCTGGAAAATCTAGGTGGCCAGCAAGGCTCCTCAGTAAGATATGAGCCACCACCAGGGCTCCTCTGCTGCATATTCTGCACTAGGTTTATATCACATCTGGCACATGAGCAATCCTTGGCATCTAAGGGGAACATTGTCTAGGTCTGAGGTGTATGTGAACATAATGAGCAGCTTGGGGTCTGTCACTAGCTGGACATTATCAAATCCCTGCCAATACCTGGTGACTCTCTTGAAGGCCTATAAACTTAGCAGATGTTCTTTTTTTGAGCAAATCTGGCTTTGGAGTCTTGAAAGCCATCTGGAACAATATGCTATGGGTCACCAATCAGGGCCATAGGCCTGGAGTAGCAGTTCATTGAGACTGCCGCTTCTGACATCTATTGATATGGCTACAGTTTGGGAAATACTATCAAATACCAGGACTGGGGATGAGTCAATAGAGTTTTTTAATTTTCAAAAGTGAAGCATCCCTCTGTGTTTTATCCCAGATCAGCATGTCCTGTTTGCAAACAGCTGACAAAGAGCTTGGGCTTTTCAAAACAGGTTAGGTCTGAATTTGCTCCAAAACTTGATTTTTAGCAAGGAACAGCATTCTGATACATTTTGATCTGATATTTTCCTGGATCTGCCTCTTTCTGTCCTCATCAGTTACTTATTGTTGTTCTTTTTATGCTCGGGCACTGTGGTGCACACTTGTTCGCCATTGTTGATTTCTTTCATTGGTGGATTAGTCTGTATGGTTGTTCAGCTCATTTGGCAGTTTGGTCTGGACCTGGCTCCCGCAGGAGATCAAACTGGGTCCATTTGTGTCTGTTTCTATCTCTACCCTCACGTCCTCTGCCCCACCTCGTGCAGTGGAAACCCCAGATCATTAGGGACAAAGGGGTTGTGGAGAGGTATGGAGAACACTCGGATGTACTTGGGCTGGGGGTTTGTCTGGTATCTGTTGTTACTCAATGTGCCTTTTTCTGCTCCCTGTCTGCCAGACCTCAGGGTAGGAGATGCAGCTGCCTCGCTGAGGTGCCACTCCCAGCCCCCATAAAATCAGAGCATTGATGCACTGCAGTGTATTGCATCTGCAGGAGGAGGTAGCGCCTGAGCTTATTAAGCTCTCTCATTTTTCAGGTGTTGAAGAGTCATTGGTCCCACTTTTCACTCTCTCCCCCTCCCCCGCCTAAAAAAAGTTCAACAATTTCTTTTTCAAACTGTAAAACAAAGTTCTATTTTTTAAAGCGTAAAACCAAAATGTGTACGGTTCTGGACAGAACTCGGTGCTGATCAAAGCCAAATAAAAATGTAAAATACAATTGTCATTGTCCTAGAACTCTGAGGGATCAGGGTGGCACTAAGATCAGCTACATACTGCCTCACCTGTTCCAAGGCCTGTATGCAGCCAGGTGAGTCGCTTGGCAGGTGACGGAACCAAAGCGCTGAGCTGTCAGAGCTGTTTCTGAAGTGTGGCCAGGAGCATTATGGGATTGTACCGGGGGGACTAACTGTAGTGCTACTCTTGCATATGGTGGCACCGCAGTGGTGCGCTAGTGGCACTTTGTGCAAGTGCAATCATGCTGTGTGTGTGCACGGTTGTGAGCGCAGCTGTGTGGGACAGTTGCTGGTTTTTTCTCTGAAACTTGCACATATTAAGCACAAAAGGGTCTCTCTCATTGATGAATGGTGTCTTCAGAGTCCTGTTGTCTTTTGAAACTCAAACTTGCTAAAATTCCTGTTACAGTCTCCCATAGATTTAATAACTAAATTATTTTCAAGACTAATTACAGTCATTAACGGCTCTGGTTTTAAATTCAACCCATTGTTCCACATCATTTGTTAGACATCCATAAAATGGAACTTCATAATGAAAAGAAAAACAATAGAATGTTTAGTTTGGTTAATTTTATTTACAGTCTGTAGCCTGGGAAATTATTTCTAATAAATATGTTAAGACATCAGTTGCTATTGTGAACCTTGGTTACAACTATTAAGTCAAAATGCAGCACAAGAACAGTATTTAATACATGTTACCTTCAGTGCAAAATAGTTACATTT